AGCATTACAAGAATGTAAATTAGGCATTACACCTAAATTTCTAGACGACAAATTCAAAATTCTTTAATATATATATATATATATNTAATTTAATCTGTGGATAATTTAACTGGATAATAACGTTAACAAGGTAATATTTTCCTTTTTTAAAATACTTTTTAATTAAAAAATACATAAAATTATATTTTTGAGACAAATAAATGTAGGATTTGTATTATTCTGAGGAATTGATCGTTTGAAACAAATAAAGTTTAGAAAGAATATGTAAGAAAGTATGAAACTATAACACATGAAAGCAATAGCATATCCAGGTATCATCGAATGATGCATCAGGAATAGGCTTGTGCATGAAATTTTGGAGATAAATCTATCTAATATATATATATATATATATATATACAGAGCCATAAAAAATTGGGAGTAGAGCGAAATTCAATGTTATTTAACTGTTACGTAAACAAGAGAAAATCTATATCAGTTCGTAAATCGAATCTTGCGAAGGAACTAAATTAAAAACAATTGTTAGAAAGGATATAAAAATAAAGTAGTAGAGACTTCGATCTCACCTTCTTTACGGTTCCCACCTGAATTTACGTTCTTATATACCTTTAGCAATTGTAAAAAAATCATTGATAAAGATCCTTCCAGACGTGGAGTCAATTATTTATGATGTCAGACAATACTAGAAGCAGGAAGGTTTCTTCTACCGATACACTCATTGCAGTCATTCATATGTAGTAACATTATACCCTTCTTTAGATCCACATACAACCTAACTTGTTCGCATTAAATAACAGGATAGAAGGAAGGAAGGTAAAATGCCAGGTAGAAATAATCTCAAATATTTTTTAATAGAAAATGGCAAAGGTTTTTATTCTATTTTTATTTATAAAATAAAAAAAAAACATACCTGACTATCTCGTAGTTAACCTTGAAATAACTTAAATTAAGTTGAATGTATGGAGTTAAACAGGTCTATAAACTCATTAAAAATTGTGAATGAGCCAAGTTTCATTCTTAAGTACTGGTTACTATTTAGTGAGTAAATTAAACCTACAGATGAATTTTTGCTAGTTTATTAGTATAAAATAGAGAAATCAAGCTTAAATTATCACGTTGATAGTATAAAAATAAACAAATAAATAAAAAAAAATGTAGCCTGGCTGCCTGTCTGTCCGTTCAGAAGCTTCTGTATCTGTGTAATCTTTTGTGACATGAAAGACAACAGTGATAATCATTTTCTTTATGTGAGAAAAAGTTTTGACAGGTCAAGCATTTGTTTACAGATATATGATAGGTATCTACTTTTTTCCCTTGTCTTTGATCTAATCTTTGAGAAAAAATGCTGGTAACAGATTCTNAAAATTTTTAAAAAATAAATAAAAAGTGAAAATTTTTAAAAATCGAAAGTGAAATGAACATGAAAAGAAAGCAAAAGTAAAATTTATAATAAAAGTGAAAGTTAAAGTTAAAAATATACAGGAGAGAAAAATTAAAAAAATATATATATATTAAAATAAAATTTTAAAATGAAACTAAATTATAATATAAATAAATATTTTAGGTGAGAAAATAAATTCAAAAGTGCTGGATCTCCATTATACACTTCTTGCGGCATTATTTATTGAATTAGTTCAAATTTAAATAGACCTTTTTTTAATATATGAGGCATGTAAATGACTTTCTAATCTAAATATTTATTGGTAAGTTTGTATTTTAAATGGTTAAATCGAACAATGAGCAACTTCCACCTCTATACATCATCCATTACAGTTTGTATATAGTAGATATCACGTGTGTTGACTTGTCGGGTCTTTACGGCGGCTGGCACCGTTTCTTGACCTTCTACATTCGACCAATGACCTTTATTTTGATCCTGGCAACCGAACACAAAACCTCTTTTCTGTATAATCTCATCTCTTACTTTTTTATTTTAGTCTACAGTCTGATGTAATTGAAAGAAATGAACACGTTAACACTTTATTTTCGTATGGTGTTTGACGTCAATGTTACTTTAATAATTAAAATGTGTATATATTGATAATCTACATAATTAATCTTAAATATAGGAAGGTTACGTTTGGGTATAGTGGCGTAACATCTAAATTTAGATAAAGAAATGTAAGAAATTGTCACACGTAAGGTTTGCATTTGGAGAAAAGGAAAAGTCAACGTTCCTTGACCTTTTAGGTAAAAACCTTTTCGTAAGTGACGTCAGAAGACTGATGGCTTGGCAAAGGTACCACTTAGTCCACCTAAAAAGCAATATGATCCCAAGGACAAGCGTGTTTAGAATTGTATGAATGTCGCGGCCAAATTGGATTAATCTTATGAATTTTGGTCAAGGTGCAACGGAGATTAAATGCTCACGTGTGCTGATGTATGTAAACACGTTTAATTTATATGGATCAGATAACGATAAGGGACTTAATTATGCGGAAATAAACACGATAATTTAAAGTGTATACATCGGAAAACACGCAATTTAATTGTTTACACAGATATAAAAGTTATAACTTTATATACTGAAGGTTTATATATCGATTTGTAAAGTAACTAAACGTTAAATATATGTGGAGAAAAAATCAGAAAAGTAACATCTTCTTTACATGTGTCATTCCAGTTTGACATTGGGAGCAAAATATATATAATTAACTCTCATTTTGATGTAATTGGAATTTCATAGATAGCTATCGGAGACGTAATTAGTCCTTTTGATTATTGATCGACCACATCAGTGAGCTTCTATACACCATTAATGAGTACATGGGAAAAATGATAATGATCCAGGAGAAAAGAAGACAGCAAACTATTTACACATACCATTAAACTGCCATAAATCGTTCAACACTATTTTCAACTGTGCCAATTAAGAGGAACGAAAATGTAAAATATTAGCTAGATACCTGTCGACAAGGAAGAAAACTTTTAAAAGTGTCTTTGTAATTATTACCATTATTCAACTGTTTGAACAAAATAAACAATTATTGGATATATTCCCGAACTAAATCGTACCTTTTTAAAGATTATTTAATGTATTAGAACATGTTATTAATGTCTAGAATACTCCAGATCTGGTTATAGAGCCCAAGGCTCTTCTAGAGAGCTCATTACTTAATTTCTCTAATGAGGCACTTTAAAGATGTTTTATGATACGTGATGCACCACTTACGAAAGATAAGCTAGAGATTCGCCAATAATAAGAAAAAAATTGATAGATTAAGGTAGAAAATAGCCAGATAAACCTTTATTTCCAAGAGTTAAGGTGTATATATCTGCATATTAGCGAACTTAACAAAGAAAGTAAAGAAATTAATAAGGAAAAAAAATATATTAGCCTTCGGCTGGATGGCAACAATTTTAAGACGATGCAATCATAAAAGTAATGATGTTAAAGGAATGTAGGAGCGACTAAAGTATACATAAATATCTTTTATAGTAGAACAAAGTAGAAAGGAGCACCATCCCTATTCAAAACAAGTGAATTAGTTCTGGTTGTATCTCCTTTTTTAAACTTTACTACAGATTTATACATCACATTTCTCCCTGAAGATACATTTTGATGGATGAAGGAAAGCATTCATAATTCGGCGTATATTTTAAGAAATTTATCTTTACTTTTAATCTGAGAACTTAAAGAAATTTCTACTTCATCCCTCTCTTTATTTTTCCAAATAAAAAAAGCATATTTTCTGCTTTCAACACTCGTTTTTTTTAAATAGCATATTAATCTGTTCAGAGTTTTTTTCAACGCCATGATAATTAGTTGTTACTTTTTAAAAAATTAATTTTAAATATTTATATATTTATATATCATTTTCTAGAGAAAGTTTTGAATTACTTGAATGATTAATTGATAAATTTTGTATAAATAAAAAATAAAAAAATAATAATATTTTTGTTATAAATAATGATTAAGAAACACGAACATTTGTAATTTATAAAAGGAAAAAGGATTATTTATAACGTAGTATCAGCGTATATAATTTTAAAAATATATAAATTATTATTATAAATTGTTTAAATTTTCTTATTTGGAATGAATATTTAAACAATATTTCATTATAATTTAATTAAGATTTTGAGTTTATTTATTTTATTTATTAATTATTTATTTTAATTTATTTTTAAATCTTTTAATTATGAATTATTCGTCAATTTATTTAAAAAAAAAATTAATTTAAAAAATTTTATTGCATTTTAATTCATTTTATTGATTTTTTAAAATTAATTTCGTTATGGTAAAAATTAATTGTATTTTCTCTTAAATTTTCATTTTATTTTTGTATTTATTTGTTTTAATTTTTTTAATGAAAATAATTAGTAAATTCTTAAAATAAAATGAAAAATTTAATTAAAAATGTCAATTAATTTTTAGAAAAAAATCAACTGCAAAATAAAATTTATTTTTAAAAAACGCAATGAAGTAAAATAAAATACAATTACATTTTTATTGATGTAATTATGTTTATCATACGTAACAATTACATTGATTAATTAGGAAATATACAACTTAAGTGTAATTTACATTAATAAAAATGCAATTGTATTTTATTTTAATTCATTTCTTCAAAAAAAAAAACAGTTTCAATTTTTTGTAATTGATTTTTTACAAAAATTAATTGACATTTTCTCTTCAAACCATGATTTTACTTCTAAAATTTACAAATTATTTACTGTTATTTATATTTACTGCAAAAATAAAATAAAATAACAAAGAAATAAGAGAATATCACTTAACTGTTTATACATTTTAATATAATTTCTTAATTTTTTCCTTGATAATTTCTTTTCATTAATTTCTTTGTTTAATTTATGAATCATTCTTAAACTTATATAATTTTGAATTTCTTTTTTTTTTCCTGGGGATTCAAGGTTGAATCCATGAAAAAGCAAATGATGTAATGATCAAAAATCTTTAGATTTAATGCCAGATAATTTAGTAATAGATACTCAAATGATGTCATTGTGTTCTAATGATATCTTATCACATGTTTCAGGCCACATGTGTGCGCTCATCAGGAAACGGAACTCGTAAAAGTCCGAAAACCATGCACCAAAGCTTTCACCCAGATGGTGAGAGTTTGGAAACACAATTGCGCTCATTATAATAATTGGTGTGTAGGTTATGAACCAAGGTGAGTTTGTAGCAATAATTCCCCCCTCCTAATTTTCACCCGGTTGTTTTATATATTATGTAAATAAAGTAATAAAAATAAGGATTTTCGACTTTAATTTTTCAGTTTAGCATTGAAATTCTGGAAAAAGATAATAAAAAAATTTTGCACAGAGTTGTTTAAAAAATATATCAAATTTTGTGCATGAAATTTAATGAAATTAATGCCGATTTCATGGCATTGTTATATGAAATCATATGGCATATAGTTTAAAGAATTATACGATTGTTTTATTATATAAATAATTAAATTTTATAAATATATATGTAATTATTGGGATGCTTTCATTAGAAATTTGGATGATAATTGAATGATTTTAACAGAAATTAAAATGATAAATTGGTTAATGTAGGATAAATAGGATAATAAATACTTTAAATTTAATTTTAAAAATTATATTTAAATTCTTGTGAGGTTTTTTTTAAATAGAAATCTGTATGATGAATGGATTATTTTGACAGAAATTAGGATGATAAATGGGTTAATGCCCGTAAATCATTCTTAAAAACATTAAATTTACTGCTTAAAAGTTATAAAAATCTTAATGTTCTACAGTAATTTTATACCAGTAAAAATATTTTACTGTTGATTTGTGGCTTTCTATTTTAAATAATCACAGCATAATCTTAGAATATTTGCAATATAATTTTCCCTACAGGACCGTATATTACTCATCTTTCACTGATGCTTTCGAACGTAAACTGCATACAGTTTATGACTGTTGTAAAGGTTGGAAGCGTCTAAATGGTGAATCCGGATGCAACCATCGTAAGTAAAGATCTAAATAAATCTTTCTTAATCTTTAAAAGTAATAAATCTTCAATAAACAATAAACAAACACATGATTGATTGCATGATAAGTCACATTTCTTACCAATTTCCAATGCTTCTTTTACTTCTTTTGAGGCCAAGACTTTGATGTATCGAGTGTTGAAGGGTTAAATTCATTAATAACAGTTGCAGTAACTGTATATTGTTGTTTATACCAAGAAAAATTGCAGATAAAATATTTTTATGCGTTAAAAAATAATAAAATCTTAGTTTTATGCTTATATATTGCATGTAAGGAGAGTTTTTAACTAATTTAAATTGATGTTTTTTAAAGTAATTCATCTTTTTAATGTAGTATTAACTGGTTTTAAATGTAATTTACGATGTACTTAATATTGTAATTATATATAATTTATATTTTTCAATGGAATAATTATTTTACGTTTTTAAAAAGAAAATATCGGTATTTAATGTAGTGAAATAGTCATAAATTCGAGCATTTAATGCATATAAAATCATTATAAATGTGTGTAATGTTATAAAAATAAATCTAAGTAAACGTATCTATGCTTAGGAATAACTATGCAAGAATAAAACATAAAGGTCTGATAGATCTATGTGATTATATATAGAGATGTATGCAACTATACGCAATTACATGGAAACTTATTGTAATTGCATAGATTTATGAGAAATGTAAGCCACTGTATACAACTGCATACAGCAATAAACTTCAGCTGTATGCAACTGAGACGTACTGCTGTTAACTTAGTTGCATGTATTTGCATACATTAAATGAATACGGCCTCAGTTATAAAACTGAGACCGTTTGCAATTATGTATAATAATAAATTAAATAATGTTTATCTTGATGTACGGCATTTTAAATGCCATTCTCCTCGTCGCACGTACAAAAGTAACGTTATACAGTCAAATCTCTGAACAACGGTCACTAATGGAAACATTAAAAAAAAATGGCTGTCGTTCGGAGGTTATTGTATATGCATTTCAAAAGAAACGTTTGTGAAAAAATGGCCGTCGTTTAGAGGTGACCATTATTAAAGGTTCGCAAATATATGCAAATATATAAAGGTTCTCTATATGCAAATATTTTATATACATTAGCATAAAATTGCAGGGTAAACAGTAAATTACAATCTATAACTAGATACGCCACTATAAATTACACTTATAAACATATGCAACAATAAACCGAGATTTAACAGCGATTATAATTAAACAATTAAGATAAATGTATCTATATTTACAACTTTAACATTCCGTAACTTGATACATCAAATTAAACCCGTTTAATTATAAATATAGCATAAATATTTACATAAAAATAAACATATACGTCCAGTATATATCGTGTATTTTAACATTTTACTACACAAAGTTATATGTAACTATACAGCTGTATGAAAATATGCGTAGTAATAAAGCTTCGTAACTGTAAACAGAGCCAGATTTACACTTGTTACGACCTGAAGCTATAATATTTGAGGCTTTTCCCTCCATCAAATAGAATAAATTTAAAAGCCCGAATCCTTAAACCCTCTGAGGCCCTAAGCAGGAGTATTAACTAAGCACTTATTCACACAATTTAAACTGTAAACCGAGCATATAAACATAAAATAAGGTGTAACTTATTTAAAATGACTAGCACACAGATACTAGATTTAATTACATTACATATATTTATGCAAAAATTATTAAAATTAGGCAATTTTCTTGTGTAATTATACAAGAAGAACGGGTCGTGCCTATCTTAACGTCGGAAACGAATATTTTACATAGGAGTTTACATATAGGAGACGTGATGCGATCCAATACATTTTAAAACTTACAGCAGTAACTCACTCAATCAGAAACGATCAGAACCGCCTTCTTTACGTGGCTATGACCTCATAACAAAACATTTTTCTTCAACTGCTCCTCTTTTTCTTTCTTTAGTCACAAGTCCGCCGTCTCTTAGGCGCCTTGAAGTAGAATGCAATAACATGACGATTATGTAGCTGTATGTTATTTGAAACAACACGATCAGTCTTCCTCTTCTATCTACTTCTATCAATTGTGCTACAAAAATAATTTTCATACAGATTTAAATGCTTTAACCTGCAAGAAAAGCAAGAAAATGTTGTAATCTTTGTGATTTTTTCAGTGTAGAAAGGACCTGTTCGTACTAAATAACCATTTTTTACTTATATGTCTATCTAGTGATACCATTAAAGTAACAAAACTTGACAAGTTGTCTAACAATAAGTAGGAAGAAGCTGAGAGTTTAATAATTGTCAAGTACTTATTACGAGCCTGAAGCATGTTGTTAATGAAACTACACTCTTAGAATTTATAGTCACCTTTCTAGAAATGAATACAAGGGTCAGTTAATAGATATATATGTATATATATTTTTTCTTTTCTTTCTTCTGCAAAGTTGTAAATTGTTCTATATATAGTAAGGGTCATAAGTGCACTTGTTGAGTAAATTATGTGATTGTTTTCTAACAGTAGATCCCTTGTCGGCTGGTATCTGATAAGGCTATTAAATTCTTCCGCAGTCTTTAAGAATGTTAAGTATGTTAAATCTATTGTTTATGTATTGTAATCAGGAAATAGTCCAGAAATTCCTTAAATAAATAATATAAATTGTGTTAAAATATAGGAAAAGAGAGTGAAAGTTTGTAAATTTTTTTTTCTATTGTACTCTTGTTTTTCCTTGTATTTTTCCTTTTTCTCTTTATCTCTTCTCCTTATTTCCTTATTTTTCTAGCTGATAAAATGGAAAAAGTGTGTATTATTTTTTAATTTGATGAAATTAAGTGATATAATTCAACGAATTTTATACAAGAAAATGCAGTAACTTTCCTACAAAAAATGCTAAAAAAACACAAAAAATAAATAATATCTAATGTATTCTTATTTGATGTTTTTAAAATAGAATATGCTTTTATTATATATAAATAATTTTTCATTATAAAGGTTATATGGTTGATGTTTTTGTTTACATAAAGTGAAAACTGGGCATTTAAGCAAGGTTATTAATAGTAATCGATTGCTAAGGATTTAAGGAAAATCCTTAAAGAAATCCTCTATAATCATCAAAGGATATCCTTGTGGATTTAATTACAGTTTACAAATAGACAAGACTACATATAAATCCTTAAATTAATTATCCTTAACTATCCTTTAAATTATTCTTAAATATATCTTTTTGGATATTTTTAAAACAGAATAAATAAATTTTATTTAATTTTTTGCCTCTTTGAGGATCAGGAAATTGTTTCTTTGACGTTAAAATAACAATTTATCAATCTATCTTCAAGGCTAAATTATTGCTTAACAAGTTTAACATTGGAACATTGCTTCAGATTTGATTTTGTTACTGAAAAATTGATTTTATTTCATAAAATATTTAATCTAAATCTTATAAAATATCATGAATTTTAATTTAAAATGAATTTTTTTTATTTAAAAAAATCCATAAAATTAATAATCAAATCGATATTTTATTCCAAGATTCTCACTACAGCCCGTAAAATTTTGTATTTTTTAAATGAATTTTTGATGTGATTTTATTGAAAATGTGAATTTTTGTTACTAGAAAATACAAAATACAAAAATTATTTTAAATAAAATGCAGTGTTTTCTAGTGATACAAAAATACAAAAAAATATTCTTGTGTTTTTAATAAAAGTAGTGGAAAAAATTCTCTCATTCTTACAATAACTTTCACGCTTCTTGATAAACGAGTGGCAATAAATATCTTGTCATTTAAGCTAGTCTTTTACTATCCTTTATTGAAGCAGAACTCATGCTGATATCTCCATTCTTCTATCCCATAACTCGATATTATCCACTCTTTAGCCCACAAATACTAATTTATTACAAATGAATGTCGTTCTAGAAATACATAACTCGGTTAAGCAGGGACATTTTGTGAATAGTTCCTACTTATATCACTCTTACAACTTTTATTTACTAAAAAAAAAGAAAGAAAGAAATTGTTAACAAAGAAGCTTAACTCTAATATTTACGTTTCTTTAATCATTAGAATTTTTATAATAATTAATTAATTGTCAAATTGTCTTAAGAGTTTATGGATAATTCTATTGAAATTTAAGGAAAATTCTGCTAAAATGTAAGGAAAAACTCCTCGTGAGATATTATCCTACATTCTGTAATCACTGAGATATGATGCACCGTTTAGAGAGGGTGTGAGATCGCCATTTTTCCTTTAACCTATGCCTTGTTCTTAACCTTAAGTGTGATATCTTCTCATTAAAAATCCTATTATTATTATTTTTTTTCGTTTAATCTTCTTCCTGTTTCAAATGATCAACAAAAATTCTTGTTTTCTATCTAAAATTTCCAAATTTTTTGCATATATTTTAAACTTTTTGATGGATTTTTAATGAATTTCGATCCATTTAAAAATGAATAATTCAACGTTAACCTTATATCTGTATTTAAAACATATATATATTATACACTTCTTGCGGCATTATTTATTGAATTAGTTCAAATTTAAATAGACCTTTTTTTAATATATGAGGCATGTAAATGACTTTCTAATCTAAATATTTATTGGTAAGTTTGTATTTTAAATGGTTAAATCGAACAATGAGCAACTTCCACCTCTATACATCATCCATTACAGTTTGTATATAGTAGATATCACGTGTGTTGACTTGTCGGGTCTTTACGGCGGCTGGCACCGTTTCTTGACCTTCTACATTCGACCAATGACCTTTATTTTGATCCTGGCAACCGAACACAAAACCTCTTTTCTGTATAATCTCATCTCTTACTTTTTTATTTTAGTCTACAGTCTGATGTAATTGAAAGAAATGAACACGTTAACACTTTATTTTCGTATGGTGTTTGACGTCAATGTTACTTTAATAATTAAAATGTGTATATATTGATAATCTACATAATTAATCTTAAATATAGGAAGGTTACGTTTGGGTATAGTGGCGTAACATCTAAATTTAGATAAAGAAATGTAAGAAATTGTCACACGTAAGGTTTGCATTTGGAGAAAAGGAAAAGTCAACGTTCCTTGACCTTTTAGGTAAAAACCTTTTCGTAAGTGACGTCAGAAGACTGATGGCTTGGCAAAGGTACCACTTAGTCCACCTAAAAAGCAATATGATCCCAAGGACAAGCGTGTTTAGAATTGTATGAATGTCGCGGNAACGCTTTTTAAAATCTATTTTAAATAAAATGTCTTATAATATAAATTTTAATAGGAATAAACAGTAATTTTCTATCTGAAAAATCGAAATTTATTTATTCGTGTATCTTGATAGAAAAGTAGTTTAAATAAATTTCTATTTTCTAAAAATTCAAGAATGCAAATTCTTTAATATATTCAATTCCCTTAGGTTTATACTCGACTCAATTTTCTTCAATCTAGTTTTCTAGTTTTCTTAAAATCTTTCTTTAAATTATTTCTTTTGATCTCCACTTGATAGATTAAAATGTTCTGGAGCCATTGACGATAATTATCTCTCAATAAATTCAAGAGAGGTAGCGATCTAGAAATTTATCACTATCATTATTATACCACCATCACGATCCCCACTATTATCCTCATTACTCTCACCCTTACCCCCATCACCACTACCACTACCACCCCATATACCCTCCATCATCATAACACCAACACCACCCCCGCCTTTATCATCACCACCTTTATCATTATTATTATTATCATCATCATCATTATATTATCATAATTTCTCCCATCTCCAGATATTTTTAAAATCCTTTTTTGGTACATAATTAAACGTTACCCATTACTGTCTCGTGTATAAAATATTCAATTATCTACCAAGAAACGATCTAAAAATAACTAGAGATGATGATGATGATGATGGTAACAATAAATTTCTAAATCGCTCGGTCTTGATTAATATTATTGAAAAATATATGTAACTAGGAGAAATAATCATGGCAAAAAATTTGTAGATCAATCACTCTTAATGTTATTGAGAGATAATGATTTTTATCTCTCATCTTTATTCATTTATGAAGAAAAGATTTTAAAAAATAATAAGAAGAAAAAGCATTTTTCATTATTAAGAAAGATCGATCTAAAAATTCATCATTATCATCATCATCATTTCTCTTATCTTCTCATATTTTAGATCTTTTCTCGGTAGATAATTAAAATGTTCTAGATGTGAATCATTAACAATCATTATTTTTCAATAATATTAGAGATTGACCTAAAAGCTTATCATCATTATCCTTTCTCCTATCTCCATATATTTTCTATCTTTTCTTACTAAATGATTAAAAGTGTAAGCTATTAAAAATCGTTATATCTTAACAATACTAAAAGAGATTGATGCAAAGATGCTTTATCATCACCATCATCATTTCTTCTATCACTAAATATTATTATTATTATTATTTACTCTGATAGCTCAATGTAATGGTGGAATTTGTTTTAATGGAGGAAGATGCGTAGGAAGATCGAATGTTTGTGTTTGTCCTTCTGGCTATCATGGTCCAAGATGTCAATATGGTAAGTGAACTTTCTAATATGTCTTACAAATTAACTTATATATAATATATTAATATTCTAAGCTAGTTATTTAGTTATAGATGTATTATACTCTGAATTAACAAGTACTTTGCAACACTATATTTAAATAAATCGTGTAATTCTACTGTTTATTTAAATCTAGAAACGAAGAATATTTGTTAATATAATATTTTATATTATATTAACATTTATTAAGATTCTGTATGTTCAAAANATATTAAAAAAAATATATATATAATAAAATTTAGATTTTTGTAAAAAAATCAATTTTTCATTTAAAAAAATTACAATTTCTGATATTCGAATGGAAATTCTAGAAATTATTTATTAAATTTATAACTGAAAATTACTTTTTTGCTCAATTAAATACTTGTAAACAGTAAAAGAATTTATAAATAAATAAATTATTATTTATATTATTTATTTATTTATTCTTGAAATATGTAATTTATTAATGAATTAAAAGCAATTTTAGAAGATTTTTAACGTTATTTATGAGTATTTTATCCTTCATCAAGAATCAAAAAAAGGGCATTTTCCACATCACTCATCCCAATTTTCCTATCCACACGCTAATGTAATTCAAAACTCATTTATATATATATATATTCAGAAAATATATATTTTTTTCTAATTATTTTAATTTATTTAATGGATACATACAACAGCAGCTGGTTTCATTTGGATAAGTAACTCTAACCTTCAGATATTTCAAAAAAAGGATATAACATTTGTAAATTAAGTTAAAAAAATATATTATCAGTAAATTAATCAAATCTTTAACTTAAAATTATGTACCAATTAGCTAAGGTTTCTTCATTAAACATTTATCTCAAACCCCTTTTTAAGATGTTTATGATGAATATAAAGTGATTATATCAGAGTTTGATGCTAGTGATATATCAGAAATTAATGTTTTTACTTAATTAAACTACGAGCTGTTAATTGCAGCAATTATTTTTTCCTATTCTAGAATGTTCTAGATGAAGAAAAATCTATAATTTAGCTCTAAATATATTTTCAAGAACCATTAAAAATTGATGTTAAAAAAAAAAATGTAACTTCATTCGTCTGCAAATTACATAAAAGCTCTTTAGAAGGCTCCACTGTGACTAATTTTAGCTATTATATTAAGTTTAGTAATGTTTTAGATCGATATTGGAGAGTAGAACCTCATAAATTATCAAAAACTCGAGTTCTGAATGGGTTTTATGAAGTGGAAAGCAATCAAAAAAAATTAATTATAAGGAGAGATAAATTAGTTAAATGGCATTATTTTTTTCGAAAAAATAAGCCAAATTTTATTAGAATTATATATTATATAATTAGACGTTTATATTTGTGATTTAGTAAGGGATTTTTTTCGATAGAAAGGGGAGTAAAGTATCTAAATCTTTCGTAAAAAGTAGTGAAGTGTAAAAGGAAGATTAAGTTAAAAGTTAGAGAAAATTAATGGGAGTTAAATAAATTCGTAAAATTCGATTATACATGAATAAATTCCTTAGATTTAGTGGAAAAAAATAAATAAATTCGCTAGAATTAGATAAAGATTTAGAACATTGATAAAGATGATTGCTACAATTGATAGGCTTGTAGTTGGATAAAATTTGACCAAAGTTTATGTATCTCATAGCTGTATCTAATGCATAAAATATTGTCGTCGTTAACTTACCATTTCTGGTAGATGACGTAATATAACGTTTTTTTTTTTTTATGGAGCAAGTTGGAATAAAATAAGTCTTGCTAGAATTTTACACAGGAAAAAAATGTCTAAAATGTAAAAAAAAAAATACGTCGTAATGACGATCTGTTATTGATTTTCATTGAGATGTATCAGTTTCTGACGTCATTTTCCGATAAGCGATGTCAGAAACTGATACGTCACAATGATCAAATGATGTGTAAAAACACTTATCGGTTAGTAAGTACTGTACGTCAAATAACGATATTTTTTTTCTTTATAAAATGGTTAAGACGTAAGATATGATTGGTTTAAACATTTTATACATAAATAATGTGGAATATTCATATTTTTCCATCAAAAAATGATAAGTTATCACGATTTTATGGACCATAAAATCATGAATTCGAAAAAAAATAATTCTGAATAAAATTTAAGATTAAATATTATTAAAAAGCTGTAAAGTTAATTAAAAATTTAGTAAATTAAGTACATCATCCAGTTTTCTGTAGAAAGCTGTTAAACGGATTAGACATTCGCGTGTAAGATAATGTAATATATATAAAGTAAATAATGCAAAATACCTCACTTTGTTAAAAAAATTTCTAATTTTAATCTCGTCTCTGTCTAGTTTAAGTGATAAATCATATAATCTTGACATTTTCAAGTGTTTACTTTATCCCGTTTGCCTGGAAGATGTTTAGGAAACGATTCAACACTTTAACTTTTGTAAATTAGTCACAAACAATTGAAAAACACTTTAAAAATGCTATTAAACAGGTTGTTAAAAGGAAATTATTTCCTAAATATAAAAATCAAATTAATAATAAAGCCAAGAGAGAAATTACAAAGAATGCCTTTGATTGGAATTTATTTTATGATTTTCGGTGTAATTGCTTGGATTTTTAATGCATTTTTTTTTCGCAGTAAATTATTGTATTTTTATGTCTCCACTCAGAAATTATGTTTATAATCTTTACCACTTTTAAGTTAATTACATTCAGGTTAATGATCTGCAATTAAAATATTTTCCAGAAACGTTATTATTATTCTTGATGGTTTCTAGTTAGCATCTACTTATGTCTGTTAAAAATTTTTTTTTAAATTAATTAAAAATATTATTAACAATCTATTCACGTGTATATAAGCAATGGTCTATACTGAATGATAGGAAAAAAATAATTTTGAACTATAATTAAAATTTTGATAAAATTATTAATTTAAAAAAAATTATACTATAAAATCAGAGGAAGAGGGTTTTATAGTACTTATATTTTCCGCGGGGTCCTAGTGAGTAAGTATGAAAAATTTGGTACAAATCGGGGCAAGTGTTTAAAAATATATAAAGAACATACATGCAGACAGACATTCTATTATATTTGTTAATTATATTTAATTGATTAATTTAATTTTTAATTTATATATAGTATCTTGTAATAAACATTAAATTTATTGAGTTTTGCTTTATTTAATTAAAGAAGTTTCTTTAATTAAATAAAGCAAAACTCGAATAAAGCAAAAATTCGAATTCTTTTTTCAATTTTTAAACAAAATTTCATTTTATAAAATTGTTTTTAAAATATTTCATTCTTGTTTNAATGTTAAATTCACTTAAAATATTTTAAATTTAAATTTTTTTTTAAATCGAAGTTATTTTTTTTAATTTTAAAAGTTTGTATTTTTGTAATTTACTTGGTTTTATAAAATTAAATTTAAAAAAAATCAAATTGTATTTTATAAATTCAATTTACAAATATGTAATTTAAAAATAAAAAATACAGTTTATAAAAAGTCAAATTGTATTTTTTGTAATCAACTTAATTTATATAAAAAGGCAATTGTATTTTTATAAGTTATTCTTTGAAAAATTGACTTTTTTTAATTGTAAAATTTATATTTTTGTAAATTGAAAACAATTATTATAAGAATTATTCAATACCTTATAAAATACAACACATAAAATTTAATTAAAATTATATTTATTTCACGATCTTCCATTTTAAATTACATTTTTAAAAAAATCAAAAATTTTACTAAGAAACAAACCTTGCTTGAGATATTTTCATAAAATTCTTTTACGTTTATTTAATATTTTAAAAAATATTTTAAACGAAAAATTCGTTCGTAAATAACTTATAAAATTTTTATATAAACTCTTTTAAGTTTTTAAATAATTTTTTTAAAATAATTTTTAAGATATTAAAATTCTTTATAGTAACTTGAAAATCTCAGGAGATATTCTGAATGGTTCCGAAGATAATTTAAATTTTTTTTTTTATGTAGACGTTAAATAAAGTGTGTTATCGTGTGTATGAAACTATGAACTTCATTTATAGTCTACTCAATAAGTAGAAAACTAGAAGATTTTTACTAGATAACAACTTATTAACTTTTTATTCAAACTCTATCGAGAGACCCCATTGTTTGCATGCGTAGGCGGAACATGGGGCCTCATCTCATTTTGTCCAGGTAATCGGGTAATTTTTATTTAATCGTTGGGGTACCAAAAGGGAAACCTTTCGTGACGTGATAATAAGATAAGTTTCCAAATTTGAAAGCTCTCAATTTGGATCTTCAGGAGGAGTAAATTGAAGAACATGAATGATTATCTTCTCCAATTCTTTCTCACTCTTCTTCTTCTTCTTTACTCCGGGAGTTTTTGGAAATAATAACTTACATTTTGACTTTTAGACGACAGAATGGGTCAAAGGTCGAAGTGAACGACAGTAGATTTTTAATGTTTCACTCAAGATATACCCCCAAATGTCACATCATAAATGATGGACAAGCACTCGAGAAAAATAAACATCTTCTAGATGTTTGTTTGACCCTAGTTCTAAAGTTGTAAATGGCCGAGTCTCTAGATTATTTTGTTATTTTCTTTTTATTTATAAGACGAAGAAAAGAAAAATTTATCAGATTATTTATTATCGAGATAAAAATAAACTCGAAAATATTTCAAAATTCTTCTACGTCATTGTGGTGATGCAGAAAGAAAAATGTCCACTTCGCTTCTAAAAATCTGTAAATATATTCTAAAAAATTCTTTTCGTATTAAAATAATACATTTTTTCCCGTAAAAATATTAGTTTTTAGTAGAAAATAACTTTAAAAATAAGCAAGACATCTGTGATAAATAATATATAAATAATAAGAATTAATTTATTAATTCTTCAAATGTGCTAAGAACTTTGATAACTAACAGTTATCAAAACATTTCTGCTTATCATTATGATAATGAAATGCATAAGTTATGAGGATATCAATACATTAAAAGGAAATGGAAGTGACAAGATGTCATCACCCATCATCAAATCATCCTTAAAAGCCTGAGGCAATTGATAATGTTTATTTTTTTCAATCATTCAATTATTTTTATATATTTTATTTATTTTTATTTTATAAACACTACGTTTATTTTTCAAATATAATATAAAATACAGTAACTTTGAGGTCTCCTTTAACAATTAAAAAAAAAAAAAGATTAAAGAAGTGTCCTTCTAGTGTCACACCCTAAAGCTCATCTAGGATCATATAACTAAGAATATATTTATCATAATTGGGCTTCAATTTTAGACCTATAAATTCATCTGTCCTTCCTTAATTACAGTTTATTTCCCCCCTAAACAAGGCGAAAAACGAAGGCTTTATACAATTATGCATCGAATTTTGTCCCCATTCCACCACCTGGACCACTTGACAAGCCAACATTACACGTTTTTATTTTTAGCATTCTAAATTTAGCACGAAATAAATCTTTGTTTGTGTTTATATTATAAACAATTTTCTTTTTAACAAATATATCCATATCATATTTTATTCATAAGAATTAAAAGATTTATTGCTTTTAAAATGCGTTTTAATCAACTACACTGTTACATAATACGAAACGAAATGCAATTATATTAAATATATATTTTTATACAATATAAATAATTTATTATATATATATTNATTATTGTGATTTTTATGTTTATATCGGATGATACAACTTTTTCGTTCGAAATTTTACTTTAAAAATTGTCAATTTCATAATTTATGAATGAAACTTATCAAAAAATAATCGATTTCAAAGATTTTATATGAATGACTCATTCATAATTTTTTTTACTATTTAAATTACGTCAAGTTATTTACGTCAATTTTTATAATTATTTTATTATTTAAAGCTATATTTTATTTTAATTTTTTACGAACATATTTTCAATTTTACTATTTAAAAATGATGTAAAAATGTATATTTTAGATGATAATTTTTTAATAATTATTATGTTATTTATTATATTAAGATTTTAATAAATCACTTTTCAATTTTATTATAAATTATTATAATTATTTCACTGTTTAAAATGACGTTAAAGTTTCTATTTTAGATAATATTTATGAACGAATTTTACATTTTGACAGATTTTTTTAAGTGTTAAATTTCCTACAAATTCTTATAATTATTTTATGATTTAAAATCGTATTAAAACCTCGATTTCTTTTAATTTTCCAACGAATCAATGCTCATTTTTAGCTCGAAATAATCCCATTTCCTTCGATTTTTTTGCATGACATCACTCATTATTCTTCCATATAAATGCCAAGCAAGTGCCATATGTTTGTAATTGCGATATCAGTTTAAACATGATACTAAAGAAACAATTTACTAATTGCGTAGGAAGTAACGCTTATATATACATTATTATATTAATTTTTTAAACGAATTTTGAAATTCCCAAAGGAAAAGATCGACTAAAAATAAATAAATAAATTTAAACTATTCAAGGACTTCCCTAAACATGTTTTATTTGGCAAAAGTTATTTACATTATTTAAAGAGATCGGCATGCTATTTGTCAATGAAAGTTCGGTTCCGGGAATATGTGACGTTAGTATCGACGTCACACTAGTTTAAACCAATTGCAACTAACTTTAGAACTGTATAAATATCTAACAGTTAACAATATATAACTATAAATTCAAATTTAAAACATAGTTTTAAACTAATTACATTTATTTATACAAAATAAATTTATATAATACTCATCACATGGATGCTATTTCTAATCACATCTGGACTTTAAAATCGTTGTAAAATTGTAAAATATTTTATTTAAAGTGGAAAAAATGTCCGAATTTCCCATCGTTTCGGTGATTTTATTATTATTATTTACTCTGATAGCTCAATGTAATGGTGGAATTTGTTTTAATGGAGGAAGATGCGTAGGAAGATCGAATGTTTGTGTTTGTCCTTCTGGCTATCATGGTCCAAGATGTCAATATGGTAAGTGAACTTTCTAATATGTCTTACAAATTAACTTATATATAATATATTAATATTCTAAGCTAGTTATTTAGTTATAGATGTATTATACTCTGAATTAACAAGTACTTTGCAACACTATATTTAAATAAATCGTGTAATTCTACTGTTTATTTAAATCTAGAAACGAAGAATATTTGTTAATATAATATTTTATATTATATTAACATTTATTAAGATTCTGTATGTTCAAAATTATTGTTTGAAGAGATGGCATTTATATAAAGTACGAGCAATACACGAAGGAATTATAATATAATTTTTTTATTAGTATATCGTTCGATTTATATTGTTTATTTCTAATAATTAAAGTGGACTGAAGTGAAAACGGATGTTTTGATTTTTGTAAACAGAAAAATAATATTACGAAAATGCTATTCTTCATGCCAAGTTCAAAGCTTCTAGTTTATTTAGAGAAGAATTTGGACGTTAGATGATAGAAATGATTGAAGTACAAATCTTATGTGATGTTGCCAAAACAAACACGATACTAAAATTCTCGATACCGAACGGAACTTGATGTTTCTTTTTTCCCCCCTTTAACAAATTATCAGATGAAAGGAATAATTAAATTTGTTCATGAATAAAATATATAAACACTAAAGTTTATCTTTCAGGAGGATAGACTTGGATTTTCCTCTTTCATTTTTACTCCAGGANCTTCGACTTTTTTGCATGACATCACTCATTATTCTTCCATATAAATGCCAAGCAAGTGCCATATGTTTGTAATTGCGATATCAGTTTAAACATGATACTAAAGAAACAATTTACTAATTGCGTAGGAAGTAACGCTTATATATACATTATTATATTAATTTTTTAAACGAATTTTGAAATTCCCAAAGGAAAAGATCGACTAAAAATAAATAAATAAATTTAAACTATTCAAGGACTTCCCTAAACATGTTTTATTTGGCAAAAGTTATTTACATTATTTAAAGAGATCGGCATGCTATTTGTCAATGAAAGTTCGGTTCCGGGAATATGTGACGTTAGTATCGACGTCACACTAGTTTAAACCAATTGCAACTAACTTTAGAACTGTATAAATATCTAACAGTTAACAATATATAACTATAAATTCAAATTTAAAACATAGTTTTAAACTAATTACATTTATTTATACAAAATAAATTTATATAATACTCATCACATGGATGCTATTTCTAATCACATCTGGACTTTAAAATCGTTGTAAAATTGTAAAATATTTTATTTAAAGTGGAAAAAATGTCCGAATTTCCCATCGTTTCGGTGATTTTATTATTATTATTTACTCTGATAGCTCAATGTAATGGTGGAATTTGTTTTAATGGAGGAAGATGCGTAGGAAGATCGAATGTTTGTGTTTGTCCTTCTGGCTATCATGGTCCAAGATGTCAATATGGTAAGTGAACTTTCTAATATGTCTTACAAATTAACTTATATATAATATATTAATATTCTAAGCTAGTTATTTAGTTATAGATGTATTATACTCTGAATTAACAAGTACTTTGCAACACTATATTTAAATAAATCGTGTAATTCTACTGTTTATTTAAATCTAGAAACGAAGAATATTTGTTAATATAATATTTTATATTATATTAACATTTATTAAGATTCTGTATGTTCAAAATTATTGTTTTAACAGATGGCATTTATATAAAGTACGAGCAATACACGAAGGAATTATAATATAATTTTTTTATTAGTATATCGTTCGATTTATATTGTTTATTTCTAATAATTAAAGTGGACTGAAGTGAAAACGGATGTTTTGATTTTTGTAAACAGAAAAATAATATTACGAAAATGCTATTCTTCATGCCAAGTTCAAAGCTTCTAGTTTATTTAGAGAAGAATTTGGACGTTAGATGATAGAAATGATTGAAGTACAAATCTTATGTGATGTTGCCAAAACAAACACGATACTAAAATTCTCGATACCGAACGGAACTTGATGTTTCTTTTTTCCCCCCTTTAACAAATTATCAGATGAAAGGAATAATTAAATTTGTTCATGAATAAAATATATAAACACTAAAGTTTATCTTTCAGGAGGATAGACTTGGATTTTCCTCTTTCATTTTTACTCCAGGATCATAAATTTTACGTACTTAAAAAAGGAAATTTTTAAATTCTAAATAGTCATAACTTTTATATAAAAATATATATATATTTTAAGTTAGAGAGAGATTTTAATGTTATTAACTACTAAATTTATTGCTCGGATGTCAATGATCAAACAGTACTTACTTAAAAATTCTTATAAATATTTTAGAAAATTTTATTATATTTATAATTAATTGGAGGCTCGAGCACGTGTAGGCTATAAGCAGACTAAAATCAGGCCTACTACGTGTGGTTCTAGCCTGAAATGGGATCGACCAGCATTGAGAACGTGCCTCGATTCGCAATGCCTATAATAAAATCTTATATTTAGAATCAGATACGATTCAAGATACATTCTTAAGTTAATTAGAGCTCAATTTAGATGTAAGCATAACATTTTAAATTATTTTTTTACGTGAATTTACTTTCAAGATCAAATAAATCCACATAGAAAATCACTTTCTAAACTCAAAAATATTAAAGAAATGATAAAGTTTTTGTGTTTTAAACGAGTTTAACATCCCAAAAAGCCAGGAGAAGATGCAATTCAATCTGTATTACATCATAATTTTAATTAAGTGAGCTCCCATTTCACGTTAAATTCTTGTTGATGAGTTATTTACTTCTTTAATAGTAAAANACATGGATGCTATTTCTAATCACATCTGGACTTTAAAATCGTTGTAAAATTGTAAAATATTTTATTTAAAGTGGAAAAAATGTCCGAATTTCCCATCGTTTCGGTGATTTTATTATTATTATTTACTCTGATAGCTCAATGTAATGGTGGAATTTGTTTTAATGGAGGAAGATGCGTAGGAAGATCGAATGTTTGTGTTTGTCCTTCTGGCTATCATGGTCCAAGATGTCAATATGGTAAGTGAACTTTCTAATATGTCTTACAAATTAACTTATATATAATATATTAATATTCTAAGCTAGTTATTTAGTTATAGATGTATTATACTCTGAATTAACAAGTACTTTGCAACACTATATTTAAATAAATCGTGTAATTCTACTGTTTATTTAAATCTAGAAACGAAGAATATTTGTTAATATAATATTTTATATTATATTAACATTTATTAAGATTCTGTATGTTCAAAATTATTGTTTTAACAGATGGCATTTATATAAAGTACGAGCAATACACGAAGGAATTATAATATAATTTTTTTATTAGTATATCGTTCGATTTATATTGTTTATTTCTAATAATTAAAGTGGACTGAAGTGAAAACGGATGTTTTGATTTTTGTAAACAGAAAAATAATATTACGAAAATGCTATTCTTCATGCCAAGTTCAAAGCTTCTAGTTTATTTAGAGAAGAATTTGGACGTTAGATGATAGAAATGATTGAAGTACAAATCTTATGTGATGTTGCCAAAACAAACACGATACTAAAATTCTCGATACCGAACGGAACTTGATGTTTCTTTTTTCCCCCCTTTAACAAATTATCAGATGAAAGGAATAATTAAATTTGTTCATGAATAAAATATATAAACACTAAAGTTTATCTTTCAGGAGGATAGACTTGGATTTTCCTCTTTCATTTTTACTCCAGGATCATAAATTTTACGTACTTAAAAAAGGAAATTTTTAAATTCTAAATAGTCATAACTTTTATATAAAAATATATATATATTTTAAGTTAGAGAGAGATTTTAATGTTATTAACTACTAAATTTATTGCTCGGATGTCAATGATCAAACAGTACTTACTTAAAAATTCTTATAAATATTTTAGAAAATTTTATTATATTTATAATTAATTGGAGGCTCGAGCACGTGTAGGCTATAAGCAGACTAAAATCAGGCCTACTACGTGTGGTTCTAGCCTGAAATGGGATCGACCAGCATTGAGAACGTGCCTCGATTCGCAATGCCTATAATAAAATCTTATATTTAGAATCAGATACGATTCAAGATACATTCTTAAGTTAATTAGAGCTCAATTTAGATGTAAGCATAACATTTTAAATTATTTTTTTACGTGAATTTACTTTCAAGATCAAATAAATCCACATAGAAAATCACTTTCTAAACTCAAAAATATTAAAGAAATGATAAAGTTTTTGTGTTTTAAATGAGTTTTAACATCCCAAAAAGCCAGGAGAAGATGCAATTCAATCTGTATTACATCATAATTTTAATTAAGTGAGCTCCCATTTCACGTTAAATTCTTGTTGATGAGTTATTTACTTCTTTAATAGTAAAAAAAAACGAACAATATATCAAATTCGTACTAATCATGATTTACAATTTGACACTAAAATATAATTTACAGAAAATTAATAAATTATTTTAAGCTTCTGATGATAACGATAACAAAATATAATTCAATAATCTGCGGGAGATAATATAAATTAATATTATTTTAAAGTAAATTCGTTTGAAGAATTGAAAGAAATAAGTTGATATTTTACTTTACTACATCAATCATGACGACAGGAGTCCTGTAAACAATAGAACAAAAGTGAAATTATTAAATTTTGAAGGACGTTAACTGAAGATGATCTTTTAAACATATTAATTTAAGTAATATTTTATGTTTAATTATATTTAAAATTAATTTAACAACGTTTAATTTGTGTTTAGATGTAAACGAATGTTTACAAAATAATGGTGGATGCCATCACGAATGTCGAAACATAATTGGTAGCTATTATTGCGTTTGTGGACCAGGATATCAGTTATCAGCTGATGGACGAACTTGCGTTGGTAAGGATGTTAATTTAAAAAATATATATTTTAAAGTAAAATAAATGTCTTAAAATTCTAGTAAATATTTTAAATAAACATTCTTAAAATACTTTTTTTTAAGTTACAAAACAGCATCAAAGTGCAGCGATAATTATAGCTAGAATTACTCAATTTTCTCGGTTAAACACGTGTTCACTTATGTAAATTTAATTCATTCATGGTTTTTATTTACGTTTAAACATATTTTTACCCTGTTAGATGCTTATTTAGCTAGAAATACTTTTGGAAAACAGCGAGTAATGCGTATCCAAAGTCCTATTTGTCTCACATTCTTGAACAAAGACGTGCCTAAATCGTTTATTTTTTAAAATACTACGCTTAAATTTAGCTAAATTTATTATCTACAAGTACGAATATATCGTTTCTTTGTAATATTAAATTACAGAAATTTAGAAAACCTTAAGAAAAGTGCTCCAAGAAGCAATTGATGTCCTTATCTCACCTTTAGATCTTAGTAATGGCATTTTAATGGTTGTCTGTCTAACTCCCTTCCATTTTTTTTCATATGTCGAAAAATATGATAAGATATGTCCCTCTCCAGATTATTTTTTTATATATATATTTATTTATTAACTCATAAAAACCAGGTAACAGACGTGACACGTTACCAGAAAAATTCGACCTTTGTACACTATTTACAATATTTCTTTAAGAAAATAAATAAATATTTGATGAGAATTTTTATAAAAATAAATCTTTTTTTTTCGATTAGTGGTGGTCCTCTCTAATCACATTTATATAGCATTAAATTAAGATATTAACCGAGCTATCATCATTTTAATGACCGATTTTACATCACCTGTCATCATGAGATTTACTTGAGATAAATATACTCGACTTTATATATGTGTGTATGTATATATAGGTTGGTGCAAAGAAAGATTGGGTGTGGTTTTTTGGACAGTTTGGCCAAAAGCCAGTTTTAGTCAATGATGTTCTCTTAATATCTACTTTTTGATGATATATTTTTATAATAGTGTGGAATGCGTTACTTTGAAGAAAAGTATATCACTCTTTATGATTCATATCTTCTAGAAAAAAAGAAAAAAAGAAAAGAAAATATATATATTTTTCTTTACTCAACTTTTGTTGTAAAGTATATTTTTCTATCGTGATGAACTGCAATAAAATGGAGCTAAACAAATAATAATCACATAGAAAATCACTTTCTAAACTCAAAAATATTAAAGAAATGATAAAGTTTTTGTGTTTTAAATGAGTTTTAACATCCCAAAAAGCCAGGAGAAGATGCAATTCAATCTGTATTACATCATAATTTTAATTAAGTGAGCTCCCATTTCACGTTAAATTCTTGTTGATGAGTTATTTACTTCTTTAATAGTAAAAAAAAACGAACAATATATCAAATTCGTACTAATCATGATTTACAATTTGACACTAAAATATAATTTACAGAAAATTAATAAATTATTTTAAGCTTCTGATGATAACGATAACAAAATATAATTCAATAATCTGCGGGAGATAATATAAATTAATATTATTTTAAAGTAAATTCGTTTGAAGAATTGAAAGAAATAAGTTGATATTTTACTTTACTACATCAATCATGACGACAGGAGTCCTGTAAACAATAGAACAAAAGTGAAATTATTAAATTTTGAAGGACGTTAACTGAAGATGATCTTTTAAACATATTAATTTAAGTAATATTTTATGTTTAATTATATTTAAAATTAATTTAACAACGTTTAATTTGTGTTTAGATGTAAACGAATGTTTACAAAATAATNATTAAAAAAATATACATATTTTGATAAGATATCAACGAATGTTTAACGTATAACGGCGGCTGTCAACACAGATGTCGTAATCATGATGGAGGATACACATGTGAATGTAAACGAGGACAAAAATTGCATTTTGATGGGAAGACATGCATTGGTAAATCGACCTTTTTCTCCTCATAACCTTTATAAAAAGTTACCTTTTTTTAAATGGCACATTTATTTTTTTTAATATTTACATTTTTTTATTATTAGATAAGATATTTTCCGATTTATTTATATTTTTCTGAAGCCAATCTTCATATTATTTTAGACGTTAGTCGCTGTCAAGTCAACAATGGAGATTGTGAACATATATGTGAAGAGAATCAAGGTCGAGTCCGTTGTAGATGCAAAGAAGGTTATAAATTAAAAAATGATAGAAAATCGTGTGAAGGTATGAGACTAATTTACTATATTAATTAAAAAAGTTCAAGCTGTTCTTCGTATAAAACCAGAAAAGAATTTCTTATTTAATGTAAAAATATTAAATTTTTTTATAGCTTTAAAAATATCAAGTATAAGTTAAATTATCTTTCCAGCAAGAGCCATTAGTTAGACAGTGAATGTCATTTCTTTACATAAGCAGCTTATAAATGTAGTTATTATAAACGTTGATTATAATTTACGACTTTAAAAGCTCTGATATTAATATTTTACTCGCTTATAATTATTCTAGAAGTAAAATTTTCTAAAAATAAACCGTTTAAATATTTAATATCTAACGTTTAGAAAAATATATAATTCTTAAAAATAGATTTTTAAAATAATAAATTAATAATTAATAAAAATCCTCCTACGAGATGTAGAAATTTAGATTTGAATTCATAAATTACAATTTAAAAATTTTAATTAATATTTATCTTAATTATAACATTAGGTAAAAGGTAATTAATGATAAATAAATTAAAGATTAATTAATTTATTTTAATAATTAAATAAGTAAAGTGAAAATATCATCCAATGAGAGAGAAAATTTAAGTGGAACTGATAAGGATGTTTCACTTTACTCAGCGAATGATATCGTTCTGTTTTAAATCAATAAAACACTGTTACATCGTAGTACTCACTAGAAATCTGCTGTAGCATGGGTATACTCCTGTCTTCACCAGTTTTAGAAGAATCTGTATATAATGCAGTCCCTACAAGCCCTATACACGATAACGTATTATATTCTCCTTCAGAACTTAATGAATGTGCCCACGATAATGGAGGATGCTCTCATAAATGCGAATCAGTTGGTGGTAAAGCCGTGTGCCGTTGTTTTGAAGGTTACGAAGTTGGCCCCGATAAGAAAACTTGCGAAGGTAAATTTTAAAATAAAGTTTTAATTAACAAATCACTTGTTGATAGTTCGGCTTTCCCGCTTAGTTCCGTTGTCGCGAGGTGAAGCCGTCTTTACGTGTTCTCTCTCTACGCTTTTCGAGCTTCTTTTAAGCTTAACGATAATATTTTAAGCAATTTAATTAATTAAAACGTGTTAAAATATAGAATTTTTATTTATTTTAAACACGAGATTCGAAATTCAGTAAAGCAAATTCAAATGATTTAACCGATACCATAAAATAAATTATGAACATAATTCAAAATANTCGAATTGTTATAATTGTTTTAAATATCAAATTAAATTGTTTAAAAATATTATAATTCAAATGCTAGATATTGAATTATTTTCTAGTAATAGCAACTTTATCTTAAATGTCTTATAATAAATTAATATTCATAAGTTGCCTTAATACCTTTATTATATAATTAAATAATAATTAAATTTTAGATTTAATTACACAAATATAGAAACTTAATTATAATTATTACGTTAATAATTTTATTAAATCAGTTTTCGTTTATTTAAAAGCAATTTTTTTTTCTATGGAGAAGATGCATTTAAGAAAGTTTAGAAAATTAAATTAAAAAATATATTTAGTTAATTATGTATAAAAATTAATTTAATTGCTTAAAAATTAATTTTAAATGTATCAATTTAATTATAATTGAGAAAAAATATATATATTTAAACATTTAATCAATTGAATTCTTATTCAGTTTATTTCAAGATTTAACTTTAAAGAAGAATGTTACTTAATTATCAACAGGATGAGAGTTTTACCAATTTGAAAAATTAATTATGATTTAAAATATGATTAAAATGATCATTTTTCTTTCTTGTTTATCTCAAAAACCCTGTTGAAGTATTACTTTATATCTGGCATCTATCCAATTTGACTTTCTTTAATCTGGAAGCCGTTGGATCTTTTATCTGATTAATTTTTCTCTATATTTATCAGTTTAAGCTTATTAGTATATATATAAAAAAATAATGTATATATATAAATCCAATTCTTAAAATTGTTTTTATAAAAATAAAATAAAAATAGGATAAAAGTATGTTTTTTTCAAGATTGATCATCTCAATTCACTTAAATGTAATTTGTACAAAGTTATCGTTTAGGATAATTAAACAAAGATAAGAGGTTTTTCTTAATTAGAAAAGCGAAAAAATAGATAAATCTGTACAGAGTAAATAGCATTAAATTTATTCTCTTTCTCTTCAATTTTATTTTCCTAAATCAAATTTCAAACTGTGGATCGTTCTTCAAGTTTCTTTGTACTAAATTGATTTTTATCTAATACTTTCTAACTTGGAAAATTGTATTTTTAGACACTTATAAACAATTTTTAAATGACTTTTGGTGAATTTTATGCTCTCAAATTGCTTTAAATGTTAAAACTTTAGTGAGATTCTAGCTTTATTGTTGTCTGAGATGCGATTATCTTACACAATTTTCATCTTTCTTTTCCTGTTTCTTATTTTTTTTTTTATTTTTTGTATTCTAAAACATATTCTGAATCTTTTGAAAATTCTCTCAGCCTCATTTACTGTTCTAACCTCCTTTTTTGCTAGACGAAACATCCAAATTCCGATTTATAAATAGCTCAGAATCCAGATTATCTCCCATAATTAAAGATGTTTCTAACAAAGAACGTATTAAAAAATTCGTTGTTATCGCATATTTTTTACTATAATTGTGTATATTTTAATTGTAGATATCGACGAATGTTCTAACTTTAGTCCGTGTGGTCATATATGCCACAATACACCCGGATCATACGCGTGTATGTGTCATCCACCTTATCATTTGGGTAACGATGGACACTCGTGCTTTCGTGAGTATTTAAACTGTCCAAAAAAGATATTTAATCTGATGAGGAAGATGAGATGAGAGAGATTTTTATCTTTACGATAATTAGGAATAGATATGGAAGTAATTAACTCGTGTGCTGATAAGAATGGAGGCTGTGATCAGATTTGTAGACACGGTCCAGGAGGTCCGGTTTGTTCCTGCCGTCACGGTTACCAATTGGACACAGATGGAAAACATTGCAAAGGTTTTTAATATTGTTCTTAATGTTCTAGAACGGATTTTTACAGCTTTAAACACTTTCTCACTCATTAAATATTTATAGATTTAGACGAGTGTGAAGAGGACGTTGCTTGTTGTACACAAAGCTGTACCAATACTCCAGGTGGTTATTCCTGCGCGTGCAGATTTGGTTATAAATTAAACAGGAATGGATGCAGTTGCGATGGTAAGTTTTATTTTGTCTCAAGGTTTTCACATTATTATTTTCGACTTTAATTAAAATCGAGCTTTGGCAAATATCCAGCATTCAATTATCATTCTTTCATTAAATTTCTGTAGTTTAACGTGACTTTAATGTAAAGTATTGACAGAATGTATTCCTTTGTATTGACGATTATCTTCCGCATTCTTTTCGTATTCATATACAAAGATGTTTCTTTTCATAAAACGAACAATAAATCTTTGTTTTTTCTCTCTTTAATTAGTTCTCTGCGTGTTTATAGACGATGTAGTTTATGAAGGTTTATCAATTTAACAAAGGTTTATTGCTGTTTGTAATTATATAAACAGCACATAAACTTAACGTAATTTTGTTTTTTTCTTATTACTTTCTACCTTCTGTCTGTTATTTTTGTAATTTTATAATTAAACTTGAAATTTTTTTATTGACTTTTTCTTTATTAAAATTCCGAATTCTGTTACTTACTAGAATATACTTTATATTCTTGTTAATTGTATTTTTAATATTTCTGATATTTTATTAAATAAATTTACACCATAACTCCATTACTTTCTTTTATATTTTTTTCCATTTTCTATCCACTATTTTAACTGAATTATACCTATTAAATTTCTCCTATTTTCTTTCAATTTTCCACTAAATATTACCAATTTCCTACTATAATTTTCTTATATATATTAAATTCTTACAATTTTACTCTAGTTTTTGCGTGCTATTCAATAATTTAGTACATTTTTCTTTTACAATTCCACTAAACTTTTGTACTAGAAACTACGCAGAAAAGAGATTAAACTATATTACAGGAAGTAAATAAAGTAGAAAATGTTAATTCTAGAATTAGTAAAGCATTGTTATAGACATTTATGTGAGATTTGAATATAAACAGTGTTTACAGTAAACTTTTACAGGGCATAAAACATCGTGATAGAGGTCAAATGGAACAAAGGGGATCGTCAGAGGAAAGAAAATAAGCCCTTATTTTAAACGTAAAAAAACAACATGAACCCAACCGAGTTATATTTAATGTTCTTTTTTATGTTCTTAGATGATTTCTTTTTCGTGTTTTACACAAAAAGTCCACACGAAACAAACAGATGAAAGGTTATTTATATAGAGGGCAATGAAGTTAACCAGTCTCCACTCTCTTAGCTTCACTGTTTTATAACCTATTAACTACATTTTTTTATATTAACTTTTTTAAAAAAACACAGCTAAAATATGCTTTAAAATGTAATTTAAAAAAAAAAAATTTAAAGATATCGACGAATGTCAAAGAAACAACGGTGGATGCGAGCAAATCTGTGAAAACGTACCGGGATCCTTTAAATGTAATTGTGTAGAAAATTATAGGCTGTTAGATGATAGAAGAAGCTGTGAACAGATAGGTAAATTGAAAAAGAAAATTATTTTATAATTAAAAATAATAATAAATTAATCTTTATATTTAAATATTTTAAACTTTTAACAGGATCCCTTAACGAAATTGGTCCAGTACGTGGTGATTTACCGAGTCCACCATTCATTCCACGTATTAGATTCCAGACTACTCCACCTACAGTTGTACCGTTATTGGACCAAGAATTCAGTCAATATTTGGCACTAGAAGGACCCGAGATTCGTCACAGTAAGTATTCACTGCAGAGATTAGTTGCAGAATGCGTCTTGTGTTACGATACTTAAGGTTTTTCATAATACAACATCCCTATTTATTTTTAATTAACTACAATGTATAGAAACAGTCCCGGAACACTTTATTATTATTTGAGTAAATAATCCTTCTAGTTTATAAAATATTTGATTTTTTTTTAGAAATATTTATTTATCTGTTTTACCGTTTTTTAAGCTTGTATAAGAGGTACATTTGGTCCTGATTGTTCCTTAACATGTAATGATTGTCAGAATGGTTCAAAGTGCAATTATCGAGCAACAGAATGCAAGTGTTTGCCAGGTTTTCATGGAGTTATCTGTAACGAAACATGTCCTGAGGTAAGATATTACTATTTTTTATTATATATATATCATATTTATAGCTAGAACATGTTTAATTTTCTACTTAATTTACTAATTTAATACCTTATAAAGTCTAATTACGTATCACTTTACGTGTGGATAACCTGTAGATGTAATTTACTGTTACGTGAAAATTGATAATTAACTGTATAAAATCATTTTAAACACAGCTTTACCAGTATATTGTTTAAATTTGATATAACGCTACTTTTGTGTTAGGAGTAAGAGTTTAAATTAGTGCTTAAATTCATTGTGATTTTTAACTATTTTAAGCTTGACAGAAGTTTTCTATGGTATATTTAGCTCTGGATGTTCATTTCCTGCAAGTATTCTCGTCAATAATGTATTTTTCAATCACTTAATGACTTTCTTTCATTATTTCTTTATAAGGGAACATATGGAGAAGGATGTAATTACGTCTGTACTTGTCAGAATGGAGGTACTTGTGACTCAGTTACTGGAGAATGCTACTGTCCACCGGGCATACAAGGAAAGAATTGTGAAAATGGATGTCCTCCTGGTATGATTTTTTTACAATAAAACTCGATGTTTACACTAAAAATTTTGAAAATTTTCACAAATTTTCAGGTAAATATGGAGAAAATTGCGATAAACCCTGTCCTCATTTGTGCTCCAGTGGGCATTGTCATAAAGTATTCGGATATTGTGAGTGTAATCCTGGATTATTCGGACCTCATTGCAACATTCAATGTCCAGAAAATACATTTGGACCCAACTGTCGAGGGCAATGTAAATGTGTTAAGAATCACACTAAAAAATGCAACCCCAAAGTAAGAAAAATTGCAGATTTTTTTAACGATGTTTTAAATATAGAATTATTAATTTTTAATAATAAATGGATACAGAATGGAAAATGCGAGTGTAAACCAGGATATTTGGGCACGAAATGCGAAAGGCCATGTCCTAGAAATCAATGGGGACACGGGTGTCGTAGGATATGTAATTGTCCTTACAACACGACTTGCGATTCTAGTACGGGAGCCTGTTTAAGAAATTGTCCTCCTGGGATGACGGGTTCCGATTGCGATTTAGGTACGGATTTTTAGCTTATTTTACCTAAATATCAAATGAAATTTATAATGAAACTCGTTTTAAATATATTATAGCGTGTCCTGAAGGTACTTACGGATCAAATTGTCTATTAAATTGCGCTTGTGGTCCGAGAGGATGCGATCCAACAACTGGAACTTGTTTATGTCAACCTGGCAAAATGGGTGCAAATTGCAAAGAAAGTAAGGGTTTTTTAAAGTTTTCGTGTGTATTTTGTACTTAATTTACAAATTACAATGTACATTTTTTGGTCCATAAGCTTGCCCTCCCGGTAGATTTGGTGCTAGTTGCTTAAAAACATGTCTATGCCAGAATGGAGTTTGCGATCCCGTTAATGGCAAATGCAGATGTCCACCGGGTTTTCATGGAAAGTTATGCGAAAAGGGTGAGTAAATGGAGAAAAATCACCACTTAGATGCATTTTTTTTTCACAAAAAATTAAAGATTTTCTTACACGTAGATTGCCCTCCTGGATTTTATGGCGATTGTCTCTCTCCATGTCAATGCGACAATGGCGCAGAATGTAATTCTGTAACAGGAAGATGCAAATGCACATCCGGATGGACAGGTTATCATTGCAATCAAGGTAAGTTACATCAATCAATCAAGATATAATTGTTACCGAACATGGCACCAGATGGCAGCAGGTTTTAGTAGGTGCTGCGATACAAGATGATTGCCTTCACTGATGCAATGGACTGAAGGCAACACTCTTGTATAAATGGTTTATTATAGGAATTATCCTTAAAATATAAGTATTTTTCTTACTGTAGCATGTAGTCCTAGTCGATGGGGTCCTTATTGTCAGTTTAAGTGCCAATGTAGTAACGGTGGAGATTGCGATTCCGTTACAGGGCAATGTATCTGTCCACCTGGATGGCAAGGGAGCGATTGTGAAGAAGGTAAGAACATTTGAATAACTGTACACAATTACAAATGTCTAACATGGAATATTTACATATTTTTGTAGAATGTTCATCCGGTAAATATGGTGAGAAGTGCGAAAGAGAATGCCAATGCGAGAATGGTGCCTCTTGCGACCATATAAGTGGTGCATGTATGTGTAAACCAGGTTGGATAGGTACTTTCTGCGAACGACCCTGTCCCATGGGCTACCATGGCATGGAATGTCGACTCCATTGCAACTGTAGCATATCTAATGGAAAATGTGACCCAGAAACCGGTGAATGCCTCTGCGATTTAGGAATAATAGATCCTAATTGCAAATCGGGTAAATTCACTTAATTTTCTCCCAAATTTCTTACAAAAAAACCCTTAAAATTAACTGTGAAATATTGATTTTTAGCTTGTCCTTCCGGTTATTTTGGAGCAAAATGCCAAGAGAAATGCCTGTGTCAAAATGGTGCCAAGTGCGATCCTGTAATTGGTGCCTGCCATTGTTTACCTGGTTGGTTTGGTGAAAAATGTGAATTGTGTGAGTAATATTATTGAAAATATATTAAAATTGAAAATGTTCTCATGTTTTGAACAGTTTTCATCAATAGAAAACTCAAAAACAAACTTGATTTTATAGCTTGTCCCGTTGGATTTTATGGTGAAAACTGTGATAATTTATGTTCCTGCCTGAATGATGCAGAGTGTGATAGTACAAACGGAAGTTGTTATTGTAAACCTGGATTTAAAGGAAATAATTGTGAAGATGGTAATGTATAATTTTCATTATTTTATATTAATAATACCACAAATGTTCAAGCTTACAAATCCATTTAAGAGAAATAAAAAGAAACGTAAAAGAAAAACAAATATTTTTTTACAATTTTACTGTTTTTTGTTTACTATAATAATAATGTGGAATTTCAAAGGTGTTCATTAAGTTTTATCAGTATTTAATGCCAATTTTTAAAAATATATTTATTTAAAATTATGAATAATGCCGATTAATTAAGAGTCACTGCAATAAAGCTGCATTTGAAAATACAGTAAAACTTGTGTAAACCGGAATCGTGCCGTACCGAATTTTCTCCGTTTTTGGCAGGTTTATGTCTTGAATAAGTTTTATCATTTTTTAAATTCTTTAAACTATACCAGATAAATGTCATTATTTTATAGTAAAATCTTAGATTTAATAGGAATTAATTCAACTAAAGATTGAAGTATTCGAATACAAGAATTGAGAACTATTCAGTCCAAAGAAAACGACCTCGTTGTACCCGAGAACTTGTGCATTAGGAATCCACAATAGTAGATCCAGAAATGAAGGAAACAGTATGTCTTACACAGATTTTTAATATCTGTGAGCTGCTTTACTCGTAGGAAAACCCCCAGAAAAGGATGCAGTTGCATCCTGAGCACTCGTTAAATCCGCTCCTGGATATTCGAATGCTTCTCGGATTCGATCCTTATGAGCTTAAGGCAGCGAATGAGCCAATTGAGAACCAAAATCTAGTATCTCCATCAGCCAACGGAAATTCTAATCGAATTACAATAATACAGAGACCATCTATTCTGTGGTTTGACTTCTCGAAGAATTTTAATACACTAAATAATCATCTTGTTCTGGAATACTCGGTATAATCAAAGGAAATGTGTGGAAATTTTCACACCTCCCTTTTCGGAAAAGTGTTATGTAAATACGTTAAAAACTATTACAAATGGCATTTTCACTTATGCAAATTATGACTGATGTTGCAAGAAAAATCGGCTAATTTAATTGGCTAAGTGTAGTCCTTTAGTAATATCCGAGTGGATAAAATCGCGTACTTAGGCTAATTAAATTTTCTTTTCTTTGATTATTTTGGTTTTGGTTTAATGGGATATGGCAAGGCAACACGAGAGTGATATGCCAAGGGTGGATGCCTCATGGAAGGAATTTCTACGAGAAACTGGCCCCTATTTAGGGGTTAATCTAGTCATAATTTTCATTAGGAATGTTAAAATAATTTTACATTATCTCGATCAAATCATTACTTCTGTAGTAATAAATGTCTCTATTGCCTGAAACACGAGGAGCGAAACAAATCCGAATATTATACAAAAGAAATATTGAAATTTGTGACTACGTACATTTATGAAACTTCCAAATGTAAATTCAATTCACACTGCTTCTTTTAGAATGAAAAATTTTTAAAACACTCAAGCAATTTTGGTCTATAAGTGCATATTCATACGTCAACAAGAGATGAGAGATTACTAATTTCACTCAAAGAAAAGGCAATTTGAATGGAAATTTATGAAAACTTCAGCACCATAAAGAATTCAGCTAATCTCTTTTTAGATAAAACCACTGAACACTTGTCCGGGTTGGCACCTGATCAACAGACCGGCCACGTGGCTTTCCGGATTTTCTTCACGTGTCCAGTTTTCCACAGAAAATCCTCCTGGGAAGTATCACTCTTGGCAGATTGTACATATGCTGCATTGCCTTATTCTACCAATCTAATCCAAGCATAAAATGATCTTGTACAGATTACATTTCAATTGGTTATTTACGAATAAATATAAATTCTGAACTAGTCATGCTGAAAATCTCTGTTTAAATCATTTGTTTCGATTGAAAATGAAAATGGATATGGTTATTAAAATGTTATAAATTTACTGCTTTTATGCCTTTAAATTGGCTTGCATCAATACATTTAAAAATGCAATACTTTGAAAGCAAATTACTTTTAGTACACCAAATTCAGACATTCGTACATTTCTTTAGGAATGTGTTATATCTGAAAGTTGGTTGCATTTATGTCATTTTTATAAAATTATATTAATAATTATAATATATCGGTTTATAGTTCTTATATATAAAACACAAGGAGTATTTTGATGTTGGATTCGATTGTTTTTCAGCAGTAGAATGAAGTTTATCTTGCATGTTGAATAAACAATTTAATAAACACAATTTAAATTATTAAAAAAAAAAAGTTTTTGGGCTGCAATTTAAAGAAATTATAGACCTATAAATTCCTACTGTCTTCCGTCTGTATGTCTGTCCTTCCTTAATCTCGAGAACGGAATTAAATAGATGATCAACACGACTCTATTGCTAGCAGGAAAGTATGATGTACAGGGGCAACTAATGAAACTACTAATTTGAGATGGAGATCATACATTTTAAATTAAATAAATTAAAAATATGATTAAATATGACACTTATGGAGCATTATATTTATGAATGAGACTTCATTTTTATATAATCTAAATTATTCAAGTTCAAAAATAACAATAGTAATACTTAACATTTTATTTATGAAATAGTCTGTGATCCTGGTTATTTTGGTAAAAACTGTAGTCAGATTTGCAATTGTGCCGATGGCGATTCTTGTCATCACGTAACTGGAGAATGTTATTGCCCTCCTGGTAAACATGGTGAGAGCTGTGAAAAAGGTATTTGTCTTGTTTTATTTTATTCAATTAGAAATCATTCAGTTTATTAATATATAATTACTTTCCATAGTTTGTCCAAATGGTAAATATGGAGAGGGATGCAAAAAAAACTGTAATTGCTCATCAGATAGACTATGCAATCCAGTAAATGGAAAGTGTTACTGTAAACTTGGTTTCTGGGGTCAAAACTGTGATAAAAGTTTGTAAATTTGTTTTCAATCAAATTGAACATTTTCTTTAAAGATTTAAACATTTATATTGTTGATTTTAGCATGTAAACGCGGTTTGTATGGCCCTAATTGTTTAAAGAAATGTACTTGTGAAAATAGTGCAGAATGCGATGCCGAAACAGGACAGTGTCATTGCTCTGCTGGATTTTTTGGACCCACTTGCGAGAAGAGTAAGTATTGTATAATTGTTTTCATTTACAAAAATTGCCTATTAAGGATGATTATGTTTTTTTAGAATGTCCTCCTAATCAGTATGGCCGTAACTGTGACAAAGTATGTTTTTGTTCTGGTGGTTCCTGTGATTCACTTACTGGTCAGTGTAAGTGTCCCCCTGGACTCAGTGGAAAATATTGTCATAAAAGTAAGACATGTTTAATTACATTAGTTATTAACATTTTAAGATTGTAGTTTTTAATATACTGTATAGAATTGGATCTGACTAGAGTGACCATATTGTTTCTAGCCCAAACTGGACAATTTTTGAGATTTAAAAATGGGTCTAAAAATAGTTAAGCTTAGATTTTTTAAAAATTATTTATATATTTACCTATAAATTGGTTATATTGAATTTTTACAATATATAATATAAATTTTATATTGATTTAGAATGTGAAGAAGGTTTATATGGTGAGAATTGCAATAATGTATGCAACTGTGTACGAGGACATTGTAATCCTACAAATGGAGAATGTATCTGTCCACCTGGGTATTCTGGATCAAACTGTGATGAAGGTAAAAAAAATATTTCATTATATTTAATCATCAATCTTATTCAGCTGGATGGCTGAGGCAATTAAGATGTCAGCTTACTGCTCTTGGGAAATCAAATCCAGGCAAACAGAAATTTTTCATAGGTAGTTTGTTCTGGATATGTCTGGCTCCATCCCTCACCAGCTGTCTGCCCCATTGTGGGTCTGGTTTAACCTACATTAGCTAGGGAAAAAAAGACACTGTGTGCCCAAAGGGAAGAAAGAGCCAAAAATGAGGGGGAAAAAAATCAATATTTTAAAATTTAGTTAAAATTGCCAGTAATAATAATAATTGAAAATTAATTCAAATTTATTATTATTTAGAATGTCCTACAGGTACATTTGGTCCAGATTGCCAATTTAAGTGTGATTGTAATAATGTCAATAGCTGTGATAAAATAACTGGAAGCTGCAATTGTCTGGATGGATTTATAGGTAGCAAATGTGAAAAAGGTAAAACATTTTTAACAAATTGCTTACAAATTTAATTACTGTTTATCATGATTGTTAAGTCCAGTGATATTTTAGATTGTCCTGATGGATGGTTTGGACATTCTTGTGCTTCAAAATGTAACTGTTCAAATAATGGAACATGTGATAAACATACAGGAGAATGCATTTGTCCTTCAGGATTTGAAGGCTCAAAATGTCAATATGGTAAGTTATTTAGTAATTAAATAAAAGTAAAAATTGTTATTTTATATTTATGTAAAATTTATCAGATTTGATTTCTCAATTAAAAAATTATAATCAACAATCAGTTGATTATAATTTTTTAATTGAGAAATTTTTAATTTTTAATTTTTAATTTTTTAATTTTAAATATATCATGTATTATATGTGTAGAAAGTATATTCTACACATATAATACATGATATGATTATAATATTGATTATAATTTTTTAATTGAGAAATCAAATCTGATAAATTTTACATAAATATAAAATATGTAAAATATAGCATATACAAAACCATAATTTCAAATGCTAGAAAGAAAAAATATATTTGACTCTTGATTGAAACACATGTTTATCATTTTCAATTTTTGTAAATTCAATAAAAAATTAAAATTGTTATATACAATGTTAATTTATATGTAAACTTTGATATAAGGACATGAAGGCATTTTTAGAAAGTGATTAAGTCTTATTTCTGAGTCAAGTTACTTCTGAAGTCCTCTTACACTATCTTTGTATGAGACTCTATCTCTATCTGGTCTCTTTATTCTCTTTTTTTCTATTATCTTATCCATTACGTTGATCTCCTACACCTTCTGGACCTTGGGATGTACAGTATATATTGATCTAATGGCACTCCCTGAGGCCTTTACACAGATAGTATTGTTTGTTTACAAATATGTCATGACAGAAGATCTAGTTAGGTTCTCCAAATTTATATCAAGAATTTTCTTCAAGCTCAAATTCTATAATTCTATTAAACATTAATGTTATATTTTAAAAAAACTGTGCAGCATTCTGTTACATTCTAATAAGAAATATCTTTTCAATATAATTCTTTATATCACATTTAGTTTCATTATTTGTAAATACACTTAAATAAAAAAAAGAAAGAATATTTGATAAAAATGACTGGGAGAATAAGTACAAACTTAGAATTTTCTTGTAAATTTTCTAACAGACAATACTTTAAAACTGTCCCCAAACTTTGTTCCTTTCACACACTGGAAAACTACAGTCTCATGGCAGAGTTGACTTTTCTTTTAGATTCTTCTCATCCACTTCCTCTTATGATTGCACAATTAATTATTTTTAATGACATATGCCATCACCAGAGGAAAGATTTTAATGTTTTACATATTGAGATAACAAGAAGTCTCTAAAGAAAGGTCAACTCTACTATGAGACCATTATTTCCTGATGATGTGTGAAAGAGATAAAGTTTGAGGACACTTTTATAGTAATGTCTATTTGAGAATTTTTTGTAAATATTCTAAAAAAGAATATCTCTACCATTTTCTAAAAAATTTTTACCAGAAAATATATTTGAAAATAATAATTGCAGCTAATGATAATTGTTATTTAATGGACATCCATTTAAACTACAATTTTATTATATTATTTTATCTATCTTAAGATTGCTATTTTTGATTAAATCTATATTCTTTCATTTAATATCAGAATTCTTTTCATTTAATATTGTAATTCTTAACTGAATAACAAGAAATAAAAGGAAAGAAATTACTAAAATTTTAACTCTATGATTCATACCATTAGTTATGTTGAATGTTATTCCATTTGTAACTTTATAATAAATAATTTAGTTTTATCAGTTAATAACAAAAAATAAATTTTATGTTCCTATTATTGACTTTTGATAGGAATATGTTCAAAAGCATTCGAATTTCTTAAAAGAACCTTACTCCAAAAAAAGTCCAGCAACTAGTTGTTTAACTTTTCCCAGCAACGTTTAAATCCATTATAAAAAGTTTTTAATAATAAAATATAATATTTTTAATTATTATAAAATGGCAAAAAGCATAATTTTGAGAGTAGAGACTCTACTCTCATACTAATAATGAGTAAAATCATCATTAAGTCCAATCCTACTGGAGATATACACAAATCCCTTTATCTCCCCACCTGCTCAATCTTTAATGACCAAAATTTAATAGCATCAATCCCTCTAATAAAAAAATGTATGTGCAAAATTTCAGAAATTTTTGACAAAAAGCACAGGAGTTATTAAGCTTCAAATAGGGTGAACAAAATCTTGCTCCCCCCATACACAAACATCCATACATACAGAAAAACTCATGAATATTTTTGCATATCTCAACATTTCAATGTCTCCTGAGTCAAAAGATGTAAAAGTTTGGGGGATCATTTTTTGTCAAATTGCCATATTTTCCCTCTGATATATATAACGACTCCAGGAAAGTAAAAAACACTTTGGATTGGATTTGTATTTAAAAAGAGTTTCTTAAGAAATTTGTTGTTTATAAAATTTTACAAATTCAGATTACTTAATGATTAACCATAGCTTTCTGTGGGGAAGTGTATTGATTTATGCAAGGATAGGTATGTATACCCCTATGTGAAAATCTGCAACTGTCATTATGATACAAGGAGCATTCTGTACAAGCATCAAAAAATGTAAATAAAGTACAGATTGCATCCTTTCTTGTTTTAATGAAAGATAAAGACAGTTTGGTTAAAATAAAGGATTCTCTTTTGAAATAAAAGATGTCTGGCTACCCTCAAACGTTTATTTTCTATAAAAATACTTTTTAATAATAATCTTGTATTGGTGGTTAACTCCAAGTCAATTCTAAATTATTGGTAAACTAAAATCTGCAGTTATTCATAATCAATATGAAAACTAATATTTAAATAAATATTAATACAGTATAATGTTTAGTTATGAGCTTAACATAATTCAAATTTACTTTGCTGGGATGAGATGGATAGAATGAAAGTTGAAGAAACTTCAATCATTTTTAAGTATCCTTTAATCCAGTTATAGAAATTTGATCAAATGGTATTATCTATTTTCATCTTTTATAGTGTTTTATATAGTTTTATAAAACAACTAAAAAACAAAGAATAATGTTTACTATGATGAATAGCTCACACCATTAAATACTATAGTCACATGCTAGCTGAGACTATCAAAAAAGTATTTTATATAGTTTTCAATTTTTGAACTTTTGACATCAACTATAGTCAAGTAATATCATGTTGTGATTGACATCACTTGATATCACATCCATAACCTTTTCAAAATATCTTGAAAAGAATTTTATTTTTAAAGATTTGACTTCTATAAAACTGTTTAATTTAAAATGATATCAAGTGCTTTGTTAATCATAAACCATTACAGAAATGATATCAAGTAAACAAACAAACATTACACAAATTATTTAGTAATTAATTAAATATAATTGCAGAAAAGTAGGCCAATGTAATCCGGTGGTTGTTTGACAATATCAAGTAATATTAATGTCTGAAATTATTTTTGGACAGTTTCAAATGGCATGAAATGATATTTTAACTAGAGTATAATTATTTAAATCTTATTTTTCAATTTTTTTTTTAAATTATTCTATTTATGAAGATGCAAATTATTAAAATACAAAACAATTTAATGAATAATTCAATAATAACTGCATGATATCTATATTTTATTTTGTACAATTATTAAGAATATTCAATATGTCAAAACAGTTTTGGTACTCATGAATTTCTTAAATCTAGCATTTTTGGGGTATCAAAATGTTAGATTTAAGAAATATTTTGCTTTTTATATTCAAAAAAGCAGATAAGCATACTTAAGTTTTGTTATTTATATGTTTTAAATAAATATTTTAAGTATGAATGACTGTTTGATCAGTTATATTTGCAGATTTTAAGACAATTTTTTTATTTTACTGTTTAGGTTGTAAAATGGGATTTTTTGGAACTGGATGTAGAAGAATGTGTGACTGTGAAGGTCTGCCTTGTCATCCAGTTACTGGGAAATGTTTGTGTCCTCCCGGCTTCACTGGCCAACACTGTTTAACCTGTATAATTTTGTATTATTTTTTAAATATTTATAATTATATTAGATGTTCTTATAAGAATTCTATATTATAGCATGTAAACCTGGTACATATGGTCCCAATTGTTCTCATCATTGTGAATGTCAGAATGGTGGGAGTTGTGATAAAGAAATGGGAAAGTGTACTTGTATAAATGGTTGGATGGGTGCAAAATGTGAAGAAAAAGCAGGTAAATTAATTCATGTCTATCAACAAAAGTTTTGTTCATTTAATTAAAAAATGCCTTTATTTTGTTAGAAGTACATCTACATCCTGAAGAAACTAGTTAACAATTATGTTTTATGAACTATAAAGAAATGCCAACAGTGCCAAAAACAGAGATATGCACAAGAGGAGTGGATCAAAGGAAAGAATCTTTATTAAATATTTTAGAAAAAATATTTAATTTCTTCCAATCAATGCAAGTAACTATGTCAAAATAAATTGGTTTATTATAACCAATGCTGTTATATAAAAAGTATTTAAAGGCATAAAATATTTGTGCCGTAAAATCTGCAATTGCTGTTAATGTGCCTTTGTTAGATAATATTTAATTTAAAGATAAATTTACTGAAATATGCTAAAATATATATAAACATATATTTTAACTTGTTGAGTAAAAAAAAAACAGGAATTAAAAATAAAATTATATAAATTTTTTACAGTACTTAAAATTTTTATTTTTTTATAAAAAGAAATAAATCTTAAGAAATAGAAAACTGTTTTTAATATCAAAAATATTATATAGTATGAAGTTACTAGAAAAGTTATTTGTATTTTTTTAAAATGCTCATTTAGTTCACAAAATTTTGAAGTCGTAATAACTCTCTTCCTCGTTGCTAAGTGAGAAATTGTATAAAATATTTTAATGCTGTTAAAGAATAAGCTATGCTAACTTGGTGGTGGTTTTTAGGTTTTATGAGGCCCTAGAAAAGCATGGATTTGTAATAGTTTTCATAAGTTTATGTAATGTAAAGCCTGTATAGAGCATTTGTTTAGGATCCCACCATTTAGAGAAGCCCACACTTGGTTATAGCTTACCCACAGTATGTTAGAAAAGGCCCCACAAAATATAAATTGGTTTTGACCTAATACCTTGATAATGCACAAGGTCTTGGAGTCTAACCAAAACTGGATATTGAGCATGAGGCCCCTAGAAGTGTGAGGACAACAGTCTAAGTTTCATATTCCTAAAATTGCCACTGCAGGAACCTTAGGAAAAAAAATTCTTCTAAATTTATTTAAACAATTAAACTCCTTAAAACAATAATAATGAAATCTTTTAATAATTTTATTATTTAAGTATTTTGTTATTATTGTTTAAACATTCCATAGTCTCTAGAAATGTAAATCAAAAATATAAACATTTTGAAAGTATCACAGTCTCTTGTATTGAATCTTATATTGTTGCTATTATTTAATAGTTTTTAAAAAACTTATTCTAATTTTGATAAGAAACAGTATCGCTATATATATGGCACTGTTATTTAATAAAATCAAAACAACATTGTTCTTTGAAGAGAAAGATCAATCAATAAAATCCAATAACACATTCATTCAAGTCTATCCAAAGAATTAAAGCTGTGATCTGAAAAATTAAAACACTCTAAAAATTAAAACCACCTTAGCCAATTCTGCACCAGATTAATATTAGTTACTAAGTTACATGTATTTTCAGACTTTATAATTATGCATAATTGCAAATAAAGTTTTATAAACTATAACAAGCATTTTTTAAATAAGATTTTTATAAACTTTACAAGATATGCTTAACATAGAAACATCCAGAAGTTGCAACCTTATACAATATCTAGTTTACACTTATCATAAAACTTCCAGCACATTGAGTGTTCAATCGCAAATGTTTTAAGTTTCATTTAGAGGTCTTCTTCATGTCAAATAACAAAAGTTATAGTTATACCAAGCTTCCACATGTTCTAAAGTTATTTGAATAATGTGCTGAAAGTTAGTATGTAAGCTTAAACTAAATATGCTATGCTTAACTGCAAGATATGATATAAAGCTTAGAATAAAACTTATACTTGACTTGCAAAATAAATTGTAATCTTTCAAAGTCTTGCAGATGTACAGTACAAGGCATGCTAAATTTGTAATAGAATATATGAATGTTATAATCTAGTTTCATATATATAAAATATGTATATGCTGGATTAAATATGGCATAGAGTATATACTAGTAATGCCATTATTTTATTGTGCATTGTAGTAAAAATGACAACTTTTTAAAGTCAACTTGTCTGCCTTTCATAAATCAATTTTAAACATTATCAACACTACTTCATTTATTATTTAATATTTAATGTATATAAAAATAAATTATTACCATTATTAAAAATCTGTTATTTGCTGTATATTTTCATTTCATTCTAAGAATATTTCTAACTGAATCATTTGATTTTAATGCAGTAGAATGTGATACTTCAATGAATTTTCAAATGCATCATAGATAAGGCTTATATGAGATAATCAAATGAATATAAATCTTTTGAGAAATATTTAAAGGGGTTTGGCAACATTGTGAGTGAGACTTTGTAATGTGAGCTGGCAATATGCAACAAGCACAGCTGGTACATGGCATCACTAAATCTGACTTGCAGCATCACCAAACTCATTGTGCTTCTACTTTCATTTGATCACCCAGTTCTCAAAATTCTTAAGTAAATTCTTATTAATAGGATTATACATAACTTTTCTGGTAATTAGAAATGAAAATAAACTTCCTGTTAAGTAAAATTTGATCAGTGTTAGAAATCTAATCATGTCCAAAAAAAAATCTTTAAAAAAATTTAATTTGGATTATTCTAATTTTAAAAAATTAAAAATTTAGAAGAAACTGCAATTTATGATTTATACATTCAGTTTACAGATGTATAGTTTTGAAGTAATTGTTAGAATAATTATTTAATTTTAATTCAGAATAGTGTGATAAATTGTTATCATTAGTGAATATTATGTATATATGTAATTATTTTTTGTGTATTATTAGTAATTCCATATTTGCATTTTATGATTAAAAAATACAAAAAAAAACTTAGTAAATTTATGTTTATTTTTAATTGGTGAATGTCAATTTAATGTATTATGGGAAAATCATGATAATCATTTATGTTTATTATAGTGATCTCAAAGTCAAATTTACAGTTTATTTTTCTCTGTATAGTTGTTAATTACAGATATAAAGCAGTGTAATTAAATATATAAAAATTTTTTTTACAGTTTGTTTATATTAGAAAACAATTTTTTCCTCATTATTTCTATAAAGAATTAAAGTTAAAAATAAAAATTTAATTTGTAATTCTGTTTTTTACAAATTTCAAATAAATAACTTTGGTTATATTTTATAAAAAATAAAATTAATAGATGTATAAATTATTCAATTTTACTTTGTACAATCCTTAAATTACTTTATTTAACCAAATTTTTCAGGCTTAAAATGTATCAATAAAAGATTTTTTTTTAAATAAAAGTCTATGATGATGAATGTTGAGTTTGAAGATTTTCCATTTAAATAAAATAATTTAAGCAGTTAAATTAAGCTTATACCAGCTTCTAGCCTTAAGAAATCTCTCTTTTAAGGCTAGAGAAATTCTTAGCCAGCTTCATTATTTAACAATGAATTTGATACGGAAGCTAGTTAAGGATTATTTTAACTTTAAGAGACTTAAAATTGATCTTCGGAAGGAATTTTTTCCAAGAAACAATATGAATTTGCAAAAATAAATAGAACAGCAACTTTGTTTGAATTATTGGAAATTTTCAATTGCATTTTATAAAGAGCATTTTATAGTAATTATTTTAGAAAAATGAAAATTAATACTTAAATCCATTTAAAATGTACAGTACTGTTTATTTTTTTAAAGAGAGAATTTTCTATTGTTTCTTTATTATACACTCAATACAAAAGTGCCTTTTTCTGCTTCTATGTCTGTTTTATGAATTTTGAGATCCATGTTATAATATTTAAAAATAAAAATTCANAGTCCTAGTCGATGGGGTCCTTATTGTCAGTTTAAGTGCCAATGTAGTAACGGTGGAGATTGCGATTCCGTTACAGGGCAATGTATCTGTCCACCTGGGTATTCTGGATCAAACTGTGATGAAGGTAAAAAAAATATTTCATTATATTTAATCATCAATCTTATTCAGCTGGATGGCTGAGGCAATTAAGATGTCAGCTTACTGCTCTTGGGAAATCAAATCCAGGCAAACAGAAATTTTTCATAGGTAGTTTGTTCTGGATATGTCTGGCTCCATCCCTCACCAGCTGTCTGCCCCATTGTGGGTCTGGTTTAACCTACATTAGCTAGGGAAAAAAAGACACTGTGTGCCCAAAGGGAAGAAAGAGCCAAAAATGAGGGGGAAAAAAATCAATATTTTTAAATTTAGTTAAAATTGCCAGTAATAATAATAATTGAAAATTAATTCAAATTTATTATTATTTAGAATGTCCTACAGGTACATTTGGTCCAGATTGCCAATTTAAGTGTGATTGTAATAATGTCAATAGCTGTGATAAAATAACTGGAAGCTGCAATTGTCTGGATGGATTTATAGGTAGCAAATGTGAAAAAGGTAAAACATTTTTAACAAATTGCTTACAAATTTAATTACTGTTTATCATGATTGTTAAGTCCAGTGATATTTTAGATTGTCCTGATGGATGGTTTGGACATTCTTGTGCTTCAAAATGTAACTGTTCAAATAATGGAACATGTGATAAACATACAGGAGAATGCATTTGTCCTTCAGGATTTGAAGGCTCAAAATGTCAATATGGTAAGTTATTTAGTAATTAAATAAAAGTAAAAATTGTTATTTTATATTTATGTAAAATTTATCAGATTTGATTTCTCAATTAAAAAATTATAATCAACAATCAGTTGATTATAATTTTTTAATTGAGAAATCAAATCTGATAAATTTTACATAAATATAAAATAACAATTTTTACTTTTATTTAATTACTAAATAACTTACCATATTGACATTTTGAGCCTTCAAATCCTGAAGGACAAATGCATTCTCCTGTATGTTTATCACATGTTCCATTATTTGAACAGTTACATTTTGAAGCACAAGAATGTCCAAACCATCCATCAGGACAATCTAAAATATCACTGGACTTAACAATCATGATAAACAGTAATTAAATTTGTAAGCAATTTGTTAAAAATGTTTTACCTTTTTCACATTTGCTACCTATAAATCCATCCAGACAATTGCAGCTTCCAGTTATTTTATCACAGCTATTGACATTATTACAATCACACTTAAATTGGCAATCTGGACCAAATGTACCTGTAGGACATTCTAAATAATAATAAATTTGAATTAATTTTCAATTATTATTATTACTGGCAATTTTAACTAAATTTAAAAATATTGATTTTTTTCCCCCTCATTTTTGGCTCTTTCTTCCCTTTGGGCACACAGTGTCTTTTTTTCCCTAGCTAATGTAGGTTAAACCAGACCCACAATGGGGCAGACAGCTGGTGAGGGATGGAGCCAGACATATCCAGAACAAACTACCTATGAAAAATTTCTGTTTGCCTGGATTTGATTTCCCAAGAGCAGTAAGCTGACATCTTAATTGCCTCAGCCATCCAGCTGAATAAGATTGATGATTAAATATAATGAAATATTTTTTTTACCTTCATCACAGTTTGATCCAGAATACCCAGGTGGACAGATACATTCTCCATTTGTAGGATTACAATGTCCTCGTACACAGTTGCATACATTATTGCAATTCTCACCATATAAACCTTCTTCACATTCTAAATCAATATAAAATTTATATTATATATTGTAAAAATTCAATATAACCAATTTATAGGTAAATATATAAATAATTTTTAAAAAATCTAAGCTTAACTATTTTTAGACCCATTTTTAAATCTCAAAAATTGTCCAGTTTGGGCTAGAAACAATATGGTCACTCTAGTCAGATCCAATTCTATACAGTATATTAAAAACTACAATCTTAAAATGTTAATAACTAATGTAATTAAACATGTCTTACTTTTATGACAATATTTTCCACTGAGTCCAGGGGGACACTTACACTGACCAGTAAGTGAATCACAGGAACCACCAGAACAAAAACATACTTTGTCACAGTTACGGCCATACTGATTAGGAGGACATTCTAAAAAAACATAATCATCCTTAATAGGCAATTTTTGTAAATGAAAACAATTATACAATACTTACTCTTCTCGCAAGTGGGTCCAAAAAATCCAGCAGAGCAATGACACTGTCCTGTTTCGGCATCGCATTCTGCACTATTTTCACAAGTACATTTCTTTAAACAATTAGGGCCATACAAACCGCGTTTACATGCTAAAATCAACAATATAAATGTTTAAATCTTTAAAGAAAATGTTCAATTTGATTGAAAACAAATTTACAAACTTTTATCACAGTTTTGACCCCAGAAACCAAGTTTACAGTAACACTTTCCATTTACTGGATTGCATAGTCTATCTGATGAGCAATTACAGTTTTTTTTGCATCCCTCTCCATATTTACCATTTGGACAAACTATGGAAAGTAATTATATATTAATAAACTGAATGATTTCTAATTGAATAAAATAAAACAAGACAAATACCTTTTTCACAGCTCTCACCATGTTTACCAGGAGGGCAATAACATTCTCCAGTTACGTGATGACAAGAATCGCCATCGGCACAATTGCAAATCTGACTACAGTTTTTACCAAAATAACCAGGATCACAGACTATTTCATAAATAAAATGTTAAGTATTACTATTGTTATTTTTGAACTTGAATAATTTAGATTATATAAAAATGAAGTCTCATTCATAAATATAATGCTCCATAAGTGTCATATTTAATCATATTTTTAATTTATTTAATTTAAAATGTATGATCTCCATCTCAAATTAGTAGTTTCATTAGTTGCCCCTGTACATCATACTTTCCTGCTAGCAATAGAGTCGTGTTGATCATCTATTTAATTCCGTTCTCGAGATTAAGGAAGGACAGACATACAGACGGAAGACAGTAGGAATTTATAGGTCTATAATTTCTTTAAATTGCAGCCAAAATTCTTGTAAAATGATGAAATAATTGCTTTTATGCTATAATAAAGTGTTTATATTTTTGCAACAAATCGTATAAACTACGTGAAAAATAGATTCTCTTAAATATGGTATTTAAGGAAAAGTTATTGGAATTAGTTTATTCTTTACTATCGACTGGGCCATCATTCTGTTTCAATATTTGTATTCCGAACAGCCGAACGATCGCGATGAATCAATATAAGAAATTTACTCTCTTTTGGTAAGAAAAAGTAATCATGTTCAATTGAGTATTTTTTCATAAATCGGAACAGTTTCATGAAAGTTCATACATCAAAAATTAAAAGAAAAACTTAACTAAACATCATTGGTGTAGCTACAAATTTTCGCACTTGCGGGACTTCGCATACGTGTTTGCGCCGAAAGCTAACGCCCGTTTTCTCCAAGTTATGTCACTTTTCTTTAAGAATAACAATTAAAGGGTATAACGGAGAAATCTTGCCAGTCCATTAGTGCTAGTTATAAACGAGTTCGACTGCACTTGAATATAAGATACACGTCGTAAATAAGGATGTAATGGTAAACTGCAAACTCCAAATTAACCAGGAATTAAATAGCCCAATTTTCTTAGGATTAAGGCAAACCTATATAAATTTGCCAAATAGTGCCAAACTTTTAAAGATTAATAGACTAATATTATAATATNTATTATAGTGATCTCAAAGTCAAATTTACAGTTTATTTTTCTCTGTATAGTTGTTAATTACAGATATAAAGCAGTGTAATTAAATATATAAAAATTTTTTTTACAGTTTGTTTATATTAGAAAACAATTTTTTCCTCATTATTTCTATAAAGAATTAAAGTTAAAAATAAAAATTTAATTTGTAATTCTGTTTTTTACAAATTTCAAATAAATAACTTTGGTTATATTTTATAAAAAATAAAATTAATAGATGTATAAATTATTCAATTTTACTTTGTACAATCCTTAAATTACTTTATTTAACCAAATTTTTCAGGCTTAAAATGTATCAATAAAAGATTTTTTTTTAAATAAAAGTCTATGATGATGAATGTTGAGTTTGAAGATTTTCCATTTAAATAAAATAATTTAAGCAGTTAAATTAAGCTTATACCAGCTTCTAGCCTTAAGAAATCTCTCTTTTAAGGCTAGAGAAATTCTTAGCCAGCTTCATTATTTAACAATGAATTTGATACGGAAGCTAGTTAAGGATTATTTTAACTTTAAGAGACTTAAAATTGATCTTCGGAAGGAATTTTTTCCAAGAAACAATATGAATTTGCAAAAATAAATAGAACAGCAACTTTGTTTGAATTATTGGAAATTTTCAATTGCATTTTATAAAGAGCATTTTATAGTAATTATTTTAGAAAAATGAAAATTAATACTTAAATCCATTTAAAATGTACAGTACTGTTTATTTTTTTAAAGAGAGAATTTTCTATTGTTTCTTTATTATACACTCAATACAAAAGTGCCTTTTTCTGCTTCTATGTCTGTTTTATGAATTTTGAGATCCATGTTATAATATTTAAAAATAAAAATTCATAATAATTTTTATAATTATAAAATTTTATTTTACTGTAAATTTGGAAATTTGTGGATGTCTTTCAAAAATATTCAATAGTGGTTGTAAGCTTGATCTAAATTTTTAAAGCATATATATATATATATTTTTTTTTATATCATAAAGTGAATAAATTGTGGAGTGATTTATGTATGTATTTCTCATTACTAATCTTGTTTGGAATGTAAAAGAAAATATGTACATGAAGCAAAAAAATTTGTGTTTATTATTATATAACTCAGGATTATAAAATAATGATTATTCACTGTAATAGTATATTGTATATTGTAAAAATTAATGATGTGCATAACACAAAAATGTAATAAATGAATAAATGTGTATAGATGATCAAGATAATACAGACTTAAAATAATAATTCATGAAGATAATGTATACAGCGTGACTTCAAATTTCCTGTACATGCTTATTGTATATGCACCTTTCCATTTTCTGTACAAATTTTAATTTTTCTTTATAATCTTCTGGATTTCTTCCCCCATGTTGAATACTGGAAGTCATCAGAACAGTTTGCAGCAGTTGTTTTTAAGTTTTTCAACTGTTATAAAGCAGAATTGAGAAGTTTTCTTTCACAATGCCTCCAGGCAAATAGAAGCAATCGCCAATCCAAACACAAGTAATTGCTCTCTTTTCTATTGTATACTTGATAGCTATCATACTAAAGTTTTACCAAAAAAAAAAATAAATAAAAGTAAAATAATAATTAAATCAGGACACAACCTCATGTACTGTACAAGGACTTGTGGCCCTTCTGTATGTAATAGTTTATATTTACATGATTTACACAATGAATTTTATATGATATTATGTAAATTATAATAGAGAATTGTTTCTATTTTGACACTGCCATATAAAATTTTATAATTTGTAATACTCTAAAATTATCATCTAGTTGTGTTTTTAGATGATATATATTGATATATATATATATATTGTTTTGTATCTATGGTACTATATTTATTATGCTGGGTTAAGCTATTAGTTGCTTTTTATAAATAATAAAAATTTATACTTGCTTTCATTATTTTATAAAAATAATAATGTTTTTTAAACTTAAGACCTTTAAAAATAACATTCAAAAAAGGAGAGGAAGATGAAGAAAGTTAATTTTACATATAATTTTTAACATAATAATTTTTATACAGAATAATATTAAAAGAAAGTAATTCGTAAAAAAATTATAAAAGTACAGTGAAACCTCCCAAGAATGGCCACTGAAGAAAACATAAAAAATGACCGTTATCGGAGATTCGACTGTGTTTATTTAATCTTTAATTAATTTAATATCAAGTATTAATTAAAGCTGAATATATTAATTCACTTTTATACAATTTATAGAATTTAATTTAATATGCAGAAGAGTGGCATTTAAGTCTGCTGATGAGGTTTTGCTTTGACGAGTGAATCTTGCTGTCTTCTTGCTTTTGAATGGATTTGGAATTATTATTTAAGTATGTTTTGTTTGGTTTGTTGGTTATTTTACAAATACTTCTGATTATAAACGACACAACAAAATACTGGACATTTTGCTTGACCCCCCAATGAGGATATCAACGTTAAAATATGTAAATAAGGGAAATGGTCGCCTTCGGAATACTTGCTGCGGAGAATGTGTTAATAGAGGAATTACAAGATAATATGACATCATTTCAAGATGCTTCAGCATTAAATACACAAAGATAAAAGTTTATTACTTCTTGATTTTACGACATATCAGGTTAGTGAGCAATATGATAATATCTTTGTATCTGTAAGAGAAATTTATCAAACTTAATAATAATGTACATCTTAGGAAAAATTATTCTTCGTTTTTAGACTAAAGATAATTTACTAGGGAAATATTCAAAATGATTTGTACAGGTTTATATACAACATGGACAAATTTGTTTCACATGTTGTGATGGGCTTAGTGGGAATCGTGAAGATTTTTCTCATCAATTGTTGGATGTTGAGTAAGCATATTGTTCTGTCCCTGCTGTACGTTCTTGAAACTATGGTAGATTTATAAAGGTGGATTAATTAATATATTAAATCTTTAGGCGGATATACAATTTTTATTTGAAGATCATAATAGCATACTTCATTTTTAAAATTAATAATTGCTATCTGTAATGAACAAAGGTACGAAACAGCCATAAGACCAGTGTTAATTTTTCAGGTTACAACGAACAATATTTAGGTTTAAAATCAATGTTATCACTCCAGAATTCAAATTTTAAAAATATACTGTGCCAGTTTTCTTATTTCAAGGATTCCTTATTAACTGCTCACTAATAACGCACTTAAAAATGCGGATGAATTGAGGGTGTTTTATAGGCTTACAATATGCTAAAATTCAAAGGAGAAACTTGTGCAGGAGGAAAATTATTTGAAGACCAAATTGCTAATATTACTAATTAACAGCAGCAAATTTCGATCACCGGGGCGAAGGAAAAATTTTATTATTGACAGCTGCTTGGCGTATCCCGACATCAAGTGTTGTATTAAAGTGATGTTCCACAAGAATTTAAAAACTATTGTCTTTAGATCAAGGAATCAGACAGCTTAAAGAGCAACCACGGGCAAATTATTTCGAAAATGCTAACTTCTATAGTTAGTGGCGAAGAAACGTTTATTGTAATCCTTCCAGATGCAATATGACGTGGCAAAAAGTGTCAAAAAACAATGGAAAATTGTTTTTTGCCACTTTTTGCCACGTCATATCGCATTTCTACAAGGCAATGGTAAACTAGCAACAACTAGTAAACTTCGGCTTTCTACAAGGCAATGGTAAACTAGCAACAACTCGTTGCTAGTTGTTCAACTTTCCCGGCAACATTTAAAATTTTGGTGTTATCATCTTTTATTTTAAAATTATTTTATATTTTTAGCAAAAAAATTTGTGTTTATTATTATATAACTCAGGATTATAAAATAATGATTATTCACTGTAATAGTATATTGTATATTGTAAAAATTAATGATGTGCATAACACAAAAATGTAATAAATGAATAAATGTGTATAGATGATCAAGATAATACAGACTTAAAATAATAATTCATGAAGATAATGTATACAGCGTGACTTCAAATTTCCTGTACATGCTTATTGTATA